TCATAATAAATTGCAATAAAATTATCGGAATCAGATGACGTAACATATACGTATATATATGTATAAGTGTATAGTTGCTACTATTTTATTACCACATTATCTAACGTACTCTTTTAAAGTAGGGCGAATATAATACGGACTTGTTCATTCTTCAATAGGAGAGAGAGCGTATAGGAAACCTACAGTGGGATTATGGTGTCTATTCATTGTACTCGCCTTCGCATGTTCCCGTGAGACGGTACTTAAATTTATATTCCATACTCACTATATTAAAATATTTCCTTTAAAAATTATAGAGAATGAAATAAATTCAATTCGACAGACATTTCTTGAGTTCCAAATGATGGCGTTTATTACTATTCAAAAGTGCTGTAATGTAAGTTTATTTGAATAAATGATTTTCTATTCTATTCTATTACATTAATACAGCGTCAAACATTATGTATAGTGTAAAATTATGTACAATAAGATAAGGAGACAATACTGTATTGCTGAAATGCCTATGCCAACTATAGATTTTTATTAAACGAATTAATTTTAAGCATGCAAAATTGAAATATAAATGAAAGTTAAGGAGCAGATAAGTACCTACCTAGTTTTAGTTCGGGTACTTTCTTCTTCTCTGTTGCTCAAAAACACATAACATGACCCAAAAAGGATAAACACACGAAGACATCACAATAAATTATAAAACACATGGTTTTTAATGTTACTTGAGAGACAAACTTACTACTAGTACTAAAACAAACGCGCAAATGGCATCTAACACGGTCACGTCTTGCCTGTAATGTTCGAGAACAGAGGGTAGGTTACAAAAAATAAATAAGGACTACCTACATATTAGCAATATCTATCTGTAATCTACTTGTTAAGTTCCGTTTAGTTTAATGACAAATGACATAAATAGACAAAATACATAAATAGACAAAATAGTGTGTTTTAAAGTATACTATAAATATATTTTTTTGCTACAGATGTAAAAAAACAGAAATGAAATATCATTTTTTGTTGTTTATTAGACCGAAATCGCTAAAAGCACCTTCCAAAATACTTGTTTCCCGAAAGTAATTCGATTTTACACCCCAAATAAGTCAGTCGCGAAAACGTGCACATTCACATTGTGGTGTGTATGTATATGTGTGATCAGACCTTCAGAGTAAAAGCAAGGGTTGAGTCGCGTCTTCGAATCCGGATAATGCTTTAAAACATTATTTCCAGCATGTTTATAAGTAATTATGCATAGCACATGATCATAATCATTATGAGCTGGGTCTTTAGTGAAGTGAAAGCCTTTTGATAAGGTTCAATAGATTTCCTGTATCTTATCCGACCGTAATATGAGTATGGTACTCGTATTTCCTCTAAGGCATGAAACAAATTTTCATATGCAAATATTGGTAGTAAAAGTATAAGGTATAGGTACGGCATATATATTTTCACTTTCATTTGGAAGTAAAAGAAAATATTCATAGACAACCTTTAGCTTTCTATATAGCGATATTCGGTAAAAAGAAAGTAATCATTGATGAAGGGCATTTATTTCATTATAGTGGCGACCAAAACTCTTCAACGACCGGCAGTAGCTTTTTGGGAAACACTGTGATATATTAAATTTATTATCGTACTTCATATATTGAGAAATGTAATCAATAAATTTTGTAGTGAGTGCCGGTGTTACGATGTTTTAGTGGAGAGGCTTACCAACTTTTACTAAACCAGCGCATTTTGAAAGGTAGGAAGAATGAAAATAGTTTATAATAGATGATATAAGATGTTGAGAATATGTTAAAAAAATGTCAAATTATAGTAATACTTATGTAAAGGTCGTTTGTACATGGAAATTAAGATTAAAAGCAGAGAAAGTACCATACATTTGTTGTCTTAATAAAACTCTTAAATGTTAAAGAAGAAGCTACTCTATTTCAATTTTGTTGGTATAACTTAAGTTAAAATAACAACCAGGATTTAGTAATAAACGCAAATCATGAATACCACGAGGTGGATGTGAACACCAAATGAATTGGCGGTGCATACATAAAATCGGTAGCGAATGCAAACAAAACATCACTAATCCAGTCAGTATATTAAGAGCATATTAATTAAATCCAGTTTCTGGTAATCAGATACATTATTGAAATTAAGCGGTCAATACAATAATATAAGGCTTAGTCACTACAATCACTAAATATTGATTAGTAAACGCAAATTTGATTATAACATGTCAACAGTATGGAGGGTATTGCTTTTAATTCCATTCTGATACAGAATTTGTAATTTTTGATTCCATCCCAGAATTGCTTCACGTGTTCTATGTCAACTTGGACTGGAGTCATTAGAGTTACAAGAGGAATATTTTTTATGTATGTACACATACATAAACAATATTCCTTCCTTTTCGCCAATTCTGAACAGAATCTGATGGTTTCTTTTAGAAAAGATAGTTTATCTTTATATTTAGATTATCATTTTTACAGTCCAATACTAAATTCACACTAACAAAATCGCACATCGATATTTTTTTTCAACAATGTTTTAACCAGGTTTTATATATTGCCTGGTAGCTAAAATTATTGGAGGACCACGGTCCGTGTCTTTACTTGGATATATTATATATAGGTAGCAACAACAAATACAAATCACTTACCACTTGCTGTCAAAGTAGTCGGAATTACCACTTGATGTTCCACAGGCTGAAGGGTTGTAGGTGGCAAAAGGAGTGCCCTCGCTGTTGTTTCAATACTAATTCCATTGATGTAGGGCACTTCAATATGTAGTCAGGCATAAGTCCTCGTATGCCCTATATTGCGCTTGTTATTACGTTTTAGTTAGTGTCTAACTAATGTTTTTTATTCCAATAATTTTAAATACATTTGACGTGCCTTCTTTTAATTTCGTAGTTTGGGTTCTTTTATTCAACGTAACACGTATTTGGAGGGTGTTTTTAAACTGTAATTGCGACATAGTATAGGGAATTGCTTATTTTTAATTATTTTTTTATGATAATGGAAATGTCTTTATACATTAAGTTAACCTTCTGTATCCAATTGCCAAATGTAACACTTTCCAACACGACTAGTCACCATCTGTGTGTTTACATTAAATGTTTTTTAATCACAAACGTGTACAGTATACAAGTAACAAAGCGCGTATGCGCAGGTCACGGGCCATGGGGACGCTTCCGGAGCGTTGTCGCGTCGCGCCCTTCCGGTGAGCAGGCATGCGCGGGCGCCGCCGTCGCTTATGTCGTGGAGCGTGACCGCGGCCTAGTATCGCACTATTGTATACCATTGTGAAATTTAATAATTGGATGTACCCATTATGTCTAACTGTTTGTTGTATATTTAGGAATAAAACAATATTATAATCCTAGAAGATTAATCAGGTTGCAATAAAAACTTCTAAATAAATAATTTTGTACCAAACTAGCTAGTCTGCTCAACTATGACTGCGTCATATTTTCACGTTTATGCAACATTTTCATTTGCAACTATTTCTATTCATCATAAAGTACGTGATGTCATGTAGTTTATAGCATGAAACTATTTTTAATATTAAATTTTTAAAATTTTGTGACATTCTGTTCAGTTTCAGCAAAAAGACGAGTAATAAATAATACAAAAGAAATTATTTCGATAGATAGTAAAGTTCGATTTAGTTCGGTATCTAATGACGCATGAACTGTTAAAATGATTGAAGATTGTAAGCTTGTATATAGAACATTTCACGTGGTAAAGCATTTTTACTTTTCAGAAAAGTTTATGAGCAAAGTATCTAACCACATGCATAGGAAGTCAGGGAAGTGCAAGTTTTGAAATATTTGTGTAATTTTCTAGAGTGAATAAATAATTTGAAATAATTTATGTATTTGAAATCGACGTCATTTCATTATAGCACTTTATTACTACTATTTTACGTACCTATAATCGTATTATAATATATATGTCTACTTATTTACTATTCATTTATTAACTCATTACAAGGCCCGGAATATACTCGTAACTCAATATAAATATGCTCGGAAAAAGCTTTTATGAGACAATTAATATTTTCAGTTAAAGCATCATGAAAAATAAAATGGTATTCATTTTATAGTGACAGGATAATGGAGTATGACCACCTGAGCTATTATTAAAAAAAAAATACAAACAATATTTATAGCGTCCTCGGTAAAAAATCATTTTTAAATTAAATTACTGATACATCGTAGAGTTAAAACAGAAGGCTATTAACTAAAAGTGTTAGCAGGCCATACATTCAGTATTACAATGTGCCCTAGGCTTTTCATAATTTAATATATGTTCACGACCATTAAGATAGTAAGATGAATTGTACCTTGGTGAAATATTTGAATTCCAAATAGCGTGGGTCTTCTAATAGTCTTCTCTCGGATTACTTTTAAATTCTTCCGTCACCAGAATCAGAGAGTCAATATCAAAAATATATTGACAAACGAAATACTTGATGTCGGCTAGATTTGAATTTATTACCTTTTTAAGTTCTCCATAATACCTATTTAATTATCTTAAAAAATACACGTCCATATATAATAAATTAAAATCAGTTATTAAGAAGGCATTATTAGTCAAGTTTATGTAATAGTAGTTGTAACCCGGAACTTCGATTTAGTTTCTATTACATTAAAGATGGCCTATGTCGGATATCTATCTTTGACGGCTTCAGTGGTCTATCGGAATAGTACCTTGCCGAATTTACAATTGTTTTGGTTTCGATTCCTCGCATGGTACAAATATTTCTATTCAAGAGTATTATTGTCTGTATTGATTTTGGCATTTTCTATGTATACCTATTATGTAAATATTTACAAAAAAAGTATTAAGTATTTCTGACAGTTATTTATTGCGACCTGTTTAGTTTGGAACTAGTTGGAGTGTTCTGAGTAATCACTGTTGTTAATTGTACATCAAATCCCATTAAAACTAGTAAGCAGTTTCATCGTAGAAATAAAGATAGGCAGATAATTTTTCGCATTTATAGTATATTGGAAGTATTCTATTATAAGATTTTATAAAGCTTTTGTCATAAATTCATATGAATATTAAGAAAATTATAAGATTTTGTTTCAAAAGAACTAGAGAATGATACAAAATAGTTAATTACCTATTCATACGCATTATAACAGAATAACCTCAATGATTAGTGACGCATTAAAAATGTCATTCATGTGCTCAAATTTTGTCAATACAACGCAATGGTTAGTCAGAGGAGATCGGAAACAATTAGACAACTGTGGCATTGGTCAGCAGAGCGAATATCCGTACGTAGCGCGTTGTCCTACTGCTTTACTTGCGGGTATTTTTTAAGAGTGCTTTAGATACTGTAACATATTAACTGACAAATTTAATACGAATAATATTGAACCTTATGTGGTGATAGTATAGTCTACAAAATATCTATTTGTATGAAGTATGTACATAATGGTATCGTCATGAGGATTTCTATATCACAGTCACTGAATATAAAATGTCAATAATAATTGGACTGGTTGTATATATTTTGTCAAGTAAAAGGTTAACAGATAAGAAAGATGAAAGAATATATGCAGAGCTGAGATAGCGACCGGACCATAAGGTATCATATCGTATTTATATCGTTATTAATTTATCTTATTATTTATTCATAATTAAACAAAAGTTACAAATAATAAATAAATAACCATGGACAATTAACAAAGCGTCATCTAGATCCACGGTAAGCAGAGCTTGTGTTTTGGGTACGAGACAACTCATATAAATACTTAGACCGATACAAACATTCGTACTTCATGAATATTTGCACCGTGCGAGGAATCGAACCCGCGACCACCGGAAGTAAAGCGGTTTGCTAAACCGCTAGACCACCGATGTCGTCAAAGTTATACGTATAAAGTGGAATTATTATTAATAAATTTGTGAACATCTCTGTGGACTATAACTAGCTTGTATTACGGGCGTCGGCCAAGTTAAGTGCGGTGGCGTTCCTGGACCGTCCAAGTACTTAACCTAATAATTCGGTTATTGCATTATGGAACCAACGTTAATTAACCGGCTCTCTGGGTTGGTCAACTAAGATGCTGTATTGATACGTGCTTTGCTAACGACAAATGTATGCAATCTACTGCGTTATATACCTAATGTGTAGGCATATAGCTTAGATATTGTTTAAGCAGTGTCTATGTACGTACAATTGTCATTTATGTACTGAAATGTTAAGCTGCTGATTTTACAATATTAGATATTAGCGACACAGAGAAGCTATTACTACAAGCATTTAAAATTATTTTAAATAGACTCCATGTTTTAAGTAAGTTAGATTTCCTCTTCATGTTATTAATTCCAAAAGCTTGATTCGATATAACACATGTATATATGATATAGGAGAGATAGATATATAGGAGGAGAGATATATAGGATATGTCTATATTTAGACTTTGAATTCGAAAAATTCCATTTGAAATTTTATTATTTAGTTTACGTTGTTTTAATTGTTAGTTGAAAATCATGTCATCTGGAATAATGAACCATACATGTAGTTCAGTTTCTTTTATTACAGTATCAGCACTCACTGTTTCTATTTAGATATATGTATAATAAGGAATATAGATATAAATACTGCGGTATTTTTTTATTTTATCGCGTATAGTCTCCAAAATAATCAGAAATTTTCGCTTCTTTGCTTGTTGTAGTATTGAATTTTACTGCAATATTGTGCGTTCAATTCTTTATTAGCGAATAACATAGGGTTGTTTTCATTTAAAAATATATATTTCTATTTATCTTGACGAAACCGGCCGCGAGTCTCTAGTTACGTACCTATAAATACAGTCGAATCAGTATAATTGTGGAGCAAAATATCTGTTTGACAAAATTAGATAAAAGTAGTTCTTATGAATAATAAATAATTTTTCCTCATGACTGTTATTTATAAAAATACAATTAAAAATAAAACAGATGAAGACAATTACTCATTTCATGTAGGTGTTCACAAATACATTGTTCTACTCATAATTTTCTTTTTAAACTCGACATAGAATAAATATTTTTGGAATATTAACTTTAATATTCTCAATATGAAAGTGATTTTTTTGTGTTAGTTTGTACTATAATAGGAATATTAACTGTATATAATATGTAAATGAAAATTAATATTTTAAATATATGTTAGTAACTATTTCTTTAGGATGATATGAAACTAGATATAAATATAAATACTGACTAGTACATTGTTAAATTATTTATTAATTAACCATCAACTTACTAGGTATATACAGCACTTCTATAAATATGTAACAAAATAGTTTAAATCTAAAATTATATTATGTATTAATAAAATTATCAAATATCTGACACTATAACGTTTCAGTTTTAACATACATAACACAGTCCTAAAATATAACACGAATAGTAAATACTAAAACTAATACACTAATTGTTCTTATGTCATACTTGCTGGTCTTGAATAATGTTGGTATAATGTATGATTTTATTTGCTAAAATTCGTGGCCGTTACAATCCTAATGCTTAAGATATTGTTCAAATTTCAATATGAACAACATTACATTAGGTGTACACTAGAAACCACAGATTACAAATAATGTGAAGGCATGAATATCTAATATATCTTTTAAGGACTAAGTCGTTGTGCGTCAGTAATTCTAGCAGTCTTCTTACCCTATACCTACAATACAATAATGTATTATATTATGCATTGTTGCATTACAATATGTAGGCGGGTAAACAGTTTGTAAACAATATAGAATGCTGCGGCTGTTTAATCCATCAGTGGTCTGAACCAGGCTTGTAAGCAGAGTTCCAAATATCCGCAAAGCATACACTTGAGTGGAATCTATAGAACATTATTAATGGTAAACTGATATGGCCTAGTATAGACCATAGAACTTTTCCGTAAAAAGTATATCTCTCATCGAGACTATCTGGTGATTTGTAGGAGAAAGTGTTGAAAAGCCACATGCCCACGTTGATGATGAGTAGGAACATGAGGAGTTCTCGCCCTGGTTTCCTCCGGCGGAGCTTCTTGGAATTACTGCATCGGCGCAGTCCATCCATGATAAGGGGTGTTTGAATAAAAACTTGTATGATCTGTAAGTAAATTATAAATGATATTAGTAGGTTTTTTATGTAATTGAAAGGGCAAACTATCTGATGGCTCATCAGATGGTAAGCGATAACCGTCTCCTACGTACATAAATTGAGATTCCAGAGGATAAAGATGTTATGCATATTATCCTGTAATTTCACTGCCAAATCTGGACCATACCTACAATCAAAACACAGTTTACAAAGTAGGCCGTTTGATGTTTGAAATATCGAGTAGATGAGACTGAGGTACTCGTGCGACTTTCTACAATATACCAATATTAGTAATTTAAAAATATACTGCAGCGTATTTAAAATATTTACTAACTAACGTTAAATTTATTTGAATTACTCATTGCTTTATAGCAAGCATATACATAATAAAATAAAATAATAAGACTTGTTATGATTAAATATGAAGAAAACACTCATCATCCGGTGTTGATTAATGATGTTCAACAACAATGCTACATTATAGGGGCATTTAATATAATATAGTATATTATCAACTTTATCATTCATGCATCAGAAATATTTCAACAACAACAGACTAACAAATCATGCGAATCGAATAGATATCAAATTGAAAAAAACATGCAAATAATAATATTGTAATATAAGTGCAAACTACTAAAATTATGCCTATAAAATCAATATGATTTCGATTCGATGATGCCGAAAGTCAGCATGCGTGATTAGTTTAATTAAATAACATCGCATACAGGTATATGATATATTCGATGACGTTGAAAGTCATTGTGAGTAGTTTTATTTTGAACTAGAAAAAAGTGTGACTTAGCAATAATTATATATATCGCTGATAAATTATTCAGAAATTAATTGAAATAATCTTTATTACTAAATACTTACCATAACAACAAAATCAACAGTTTTAACAATATTCAATATATTTATCGTCGCTATCATGGAAAGAACAGCCTCCAATATGAAAGCTGGTAAACAGATGAACAGTAGAACGTCATCAAGAAGAGAAATGGGGTGTTCGTTAATATCCAACTTGCGTAACTGGTTATACGCAAATATAACAGTAATTAACATGATAGAGTGTAATCCTAGTTTAGTGCAGTCATTCAGAAGGTAGCCAACTTCTAATAGTTCACTGAAAAAAAACGAATTCTTTAAATATATGCGTACTTTACAGTTGGGTATGTAATGCGTCAGAATAAAGATATTTTTTTAATGTAATACATATGAATACGGACAGAGGAAGGCCGAAAAAGAGATGGATGGTCTGTGTGAAAGATAATATGGCAAGAAAGGAGTAAATAACAAGGTGACTGTAAACAGAGATGAATGTAAGAGAAATACACGCCGACCTCCCAATTAATGAGATAAGGAAGAAGCAGATGTGGATAGCATACTTTAGAGTTAGTAAAAATAGAAAAAAAATGTTTACGTTTTGCATTTCATTTAATTATATATTGGCGTTAGTACGGATAAAAATATTTTAGCCAATTACGTGTGTTGGTTTTTTATTACTATTACTATGTAATGTTATGTTATCTGTGCAATTACCATACCTATTTTTTTTATTTAACTCCTAATCTAAACTAACTAATTAATGTAATACACTTACTCTCCAACGCTGCTGAACACGAAGCCAAGTATAAGCATACCAGCTATGACGACTGTCATCATCAGTCCCATGAAAAGACCGCGGTTGGACGCATGGCAGTCCGCATGGATCACCACGTTACTCGTGAAGTCATTGTCTTCATTCGCTGTAGGTATTCTATAATAGTTTTTGTATGGATAATAAGTACTATAATCTAATTAATTTTAAACACACTAACCTGTCGATAAATGTTGATCAGTGTTAAATGAAAATAAAGTAACTTGAAACAATTTTAAGCAATAAACTGTTTTAAGATATAATATATAAATGTAGGAAGGCGCTTTATAACGATTGCAATGTACCATATCAGGACAACCTCCAAAGGTAACCACCATGGCTATATCTCAGAGAATTTGTCACTATAGACTCCGATCACTAACGTTCGACGTGACGATCTCGTGCTACGCTTAATATTATCCACTGATGACCCACCATTGTATAAAGTTAACGCCACTACAAAGTTAGCCCCACTGGCTTACCATTCTAATATAATAAAAAAAACATTACTACTGTAATAATGCTGTGTACCTGTATACTACTAGTATAACACATTGTTAGTGATATAAATTTCATCATCAGTTATTTTATCCAGTAAGTAATTTACTTTTAAAACACATGTAGTCTTCATATGTGGCGATTATATTAGAATGAATTCTAATATAATAAAAAAAACATTACTACTGTAATAATGCTGTGTACCTGTATACTACTAGTATAACACATTGTTAGTGATATAAATTTCATCATCAGTTATTTTATCCAGTAAGTAATTTACTATTGATAAATATGTAGTTTTCATATGTGGCGATAAAATAAAAAAAAAACAAATATACAGTTCATAAATGAGTATATAGAAGGTTCTATTATCTAATTAACAGCAAGCTTACATATATGTACGTATTAACTTTGAACTTACTTGCAAATTGGATAGTTCTCATCTAGACTAGAGTTTATATCAGAACTTATAACATTGTCTTCATTGGTACAGTGCCCAATGTTGCTCCAGATTATATAGTACACCGCCACTGTAATAGCATAATCATTTTATTATATAATAACAACTTATTTACCTCATTATATATTAATTAAATTTTATATTACAGCTTTTTGAAGCCGCTGCACCCATATATTACAGCACTAGCTGACCCGCGCAACTTCGTTTGCATCACACTTATCTACATGGTATTTATTATTATATTTCATATAATTTACATAGTATCTTTTAAAATTATAGACTATGTGTCATTTTGATGTATAAGCTATATTACTGTAAAGTTTCATCACGATCCGTTCAGTAGTTTTTGCGTGAAAGAGTAACAAACATCTATTCATACTCACAAACTTTCGTGTATATAATATTATTAACATTAAGATTAACTGAAATTATAACGCAGAGATTTCTGTGTGTTTTTATACATAGAAACTTGATTTTTATTTTAATGACCCTTGTCTTTAGATGGATAGACACGTAGCCAGTATATATATTTACACTGAATAAAATATTTTTCTTTCTTTCTTTCTTTCACTGTGCACATAACAATGCGAACAGATTTAGCATTTCTACGCATAAGCCTCATTGAGTAATGTTCATTTCAAAACTATAAAATGCATAATTTGTGTTCAATTACGGAACTTTAGTGATAAGTAATTACAACTCACTTATGTATATTTCATGAGATAGGTCGTCAGTTTGTCATTTTAAATACATAAAAAATAAGGTTAAAACTAAAATATATATAACGAACTTATTACCTATAAGAATATTAAATTCCACTGTGAAGGGGTATAGATAGGGCGAGAAGTTCTCGTAAATGGAGTTCACTGCGGGTGGACCGATGCATTCCGGGTTGTATAGTCCACTGACGTCAAAAATCCTATTCAAGTATGAGTATATATCGCTGGTATCCTCAATAACTTCTGCAGCTGTAATATAAATATATCATTTATTTACACGTATAATTAGTAAAAATCAAGGGTAAACACACACACTGTTAAGAAGAAGAATATTTGAATATTGACTTAAAAAAGATTTACCTCTTGCAGCGGAGTATGATGTTTCATTACTGCCGTAACCATTACCATACACTGAATTAGCGTATATTGTTAACGCCAAAATTGTCTCTCGGACTATAGCGGAAATCCAAAAACAGAGACTACTTCCTATCATGTGCATAAAGGCTACGTAAGCAACGCTCTGAAAAATAAATTTATTTTTTTTACATAAGAGACTAATAAGAACCAAGAAGCAAAATAATAACAACGCAACATACAATGTATAATCTGTACTATTTATTAGTGTAATTATATTGAAAACTAGCTGAGCCCCCGACTTTGTACCCATACTGATATAAACTTGTAGGTATGTTTTTTTGTGAACCGACTGTAATAAAATAAACACAAAATTTTAAGTGAAGCTTACAATAATAAATGAGTAAAATCACACAGAAATTAGTTACTGAGGTCAACAAAAACGTAACGTAGCTACAGTAAACAAAAAAAATCTAACAATAATTCTAACAAATTTTGATTCTTTAATGTTGATAAATCCCCCTAATAATAGTATTTATCATATGTATGTCTTTTACCACATGTACATACAGCAGCGGTCCGTTACATTTTTATTATATGTATAGATTTCAGGTCCATACTTCATTCTACGTCCATTCTGTGTCTATGTTTACAGACTCCTTTATCAGTCTCCATCAAAGAGTAAATTAATTAAAAACCAATTTTCATTAAAATTTTATAGTGTATCTATAGTAAAACAGAAATTATTATTACTAGCTAATAAAAATGTTCTAAATTTATATTTATTTAAAGTTCTGTTTTAATACGGTTGTGTTTGTCCCAATTTTATGTAGGTCACTGTATTTTTAACTAAGCACTTTATATAATAACTTATGTAGTTGCTAAAAACATTGATAAGTTCTGTTTTTCTTTATTAAACAAGTAACTTATTGTAGTATTTAAAACTGTTTGAAATTATACCAATAAGTATATCAATAAGCTGCCTTTATACATACTAGCAATAATATCATATACATATAAACATAAATAATAACCTGAAAAGGAGCATTCATGTTACATTGACAAGCATTCTGAATATTCATCACTCATCAATTGCAGACCTGATATAAAAGGCCATTTATACAAGTGACAATTTCAGTCATAGGCTTATCCTGCACAATTTTATTATTGTATAACATATTTGGCAGTTTGTATTTATTAAAAATCTTAAATATGTAATACTGAACAAAATTTATTTAGAACAGCAACTAGCGCAAGTCTCTTCTTTCTGCTCGTTCTTTCCGAATGAGCGGTAGAATAAAAAAATATTATATGATTATTCAAAAAAAATTTTTTTTCTATTGCTGAAATAAATGATACTTTTTAATAAGCTTTTAAATTTACCTGAGCCCGTAGAATAATTACATTGGAGTATTTAAAAATAAAATAGAGTTGCATGAAACAGTATATTGGGGACATAACATCGAGAGTCAACTGCAGATAATCGATACACTTGTCATTGTCGATGTTATCGTCCATTAACAAACTGATCTGAACTGCAAAAAGTAACATTGAGTGTATCAGGTGACCCAGTGCAAAACCTGTAAAATATATAAATTTCATTTTATGAATTGGTATTGTTAGGCACTGATATATTTAGCAAATTAAAAAAAAATAGTAGTATAGTGGTAGTGAGTTAGTCTGTTTCTAAATACATTTTCATTATTTCGTACTATTCATCTTAGTCTATGAATAACCCAGAGAAACAGTTAAAATTTAATATGAAATATAATTAGCAACATATTTAAAATAGATATGACAATAAATAATTACATTCATATTTCAGAGAGAATATGCGTGCGATTTAATGCAATTTAATTTCAATAATGAAATATTTCGACTCATAACGAATATATTTTATCGTAGGTATTTCTTATACCTTACAATAGATATGAGTAAATGGACACGCCTAACTAAAAGGGTTTATACATTTTATGAATCATTATTGACCTAGTTGCCATAGGTGTATTACACAGTGTTTAGCTCATGTTATTATTTATTAACTAATAAGATTATATAATATTCCGCGGCAATATATTTAAACATATTTATAACTCTAAAGTTAAATTAAATCAATTTTACTTCAATTAAGTGAATTAAACAGATACTATCTAATATGATTGTTGACATCAAATTGTTGATTAAAAATTAGACACAAAAATTGGAGAAAACTTACGAATACTGTTGGAATTTTTCTAATCTAATAATAAATATCGCGTAACCTTCGCACAATTGTAATGAGTTAAATATTAGAAAATTCTAAAATATACATAATATTATAGAAAACTACCGACGGCATAAACAAAATTGTGATATTTATATAGGAATGTATATAAAATTTTCAGGAATCGATCAAATTATTTTAATTTAAATTAACTTACCAGCAGCACCGAGTTTAAGATAAAAACTGCCGGAATGTCTGCCGTGGCTGAAGCAGTAGTCATGTTTCAAAGGTTTCAGCACCGGGGCCGGTATATTTGTAGGTTTAGTAGACAGTTCAGGAGTACGCTCCCCTGGCGATTCTACGTTGAAATCTTCCTAAAATTATGATAAATGTTTATTATCACATAAATAAAAATATAATCAATATAATTTATTTATAGATGAATTTACATCACATAATCTGTTCTGAAAATATTATTATCATAATCTAAAATATTACTAATAAAAATAATAAAAATATTATCAAATACAAAATATGTCATCAGAACATCAACAAAATCATAAAAATGATTTTAACAGAATTACTAATAGGAAAGTCGCAAGATACAATTAAAATAAAGATAAAATAATACGTGCAATAATAAGATTATGCACTTTATTATGTTAAATGTTTGTTTTGTTATAAATAAATAGATAGGACCAATCTGGGACTGAAATCGTTAGCATAATTAAAAAAGGCGATACGAATTAAATTGTAAATACCAGTAATAAAGCTGTTTAAGACACACAGCGCTATCTAATCCCAAGCGAACCAAAATTTGTATTATCGGAAAACTGTTATAAATACCTTTTTTTAAATATATACTCAACAACATCAATAAATACAAATAACCATACCCATGAACACAAATGTTTGCATCGTGTGAGAAATCGAACCCGCGGCCATCGCAAGCGCTGTGTTAAATCGCTAAGCTATAGTATTAAAAATAAAACTTACCTCTTGACTTCTAAAAAATTGATTCATCTTTTCTTCATGCAAAGTTTTAATTTTCTGAATTTTTAGTGCCGCTGATTTATATCGACTAATGTCAACAATTAAATATATGTGATACAGAATTCCGATACTGCAAAGTACAATAGAATATATCTGAAAAATAGCGAATTCCAATAAATATAGGGGATCGAAATTAAACAAGGTGATGGGATAAATCGGAATTTTACTGCATATATACCATATATATGCACTTTTACTCAAATTAATAATATATCGAGTTACATTGCGTAATTTCGTATAGAAATACATATATTCCATAATAAGTAGGGATGTATTTTTTCTCCCTTGGTTATTATTACTTTTTACATAATAATTATTATTTTCAGTAAAATCAGCTGATAATTATTTATTTATTTATTTATTCATTTCAATATTACAACACCATTACAGTATATCCAAATCGGTGTAATAAAATTATTAATATTAATTTTAAATATATTAATATTAAAACCACTTTAAAATAACCAGAAGACTAGTGCTGTACTAGATTAGACTATAAAAGACAACAGTTTAATACTTTACCGCCGAAACAGAGTACTCGACGAATATGTCTCCTAAGTAGATTATTAACCCTAAGGTCACCAGTGTTATTGCGTACATGGAACTGGACATCAATGTCAGATACTTTCTGAAAACAAAAACAAAAATTAATAAAGTTAAAGTTTGTTTTATTAAAAAAATATATACACATAACAATTAAAATATATATTTTAGTTTCATTTAAGGGATATTCAATTCACTTTTCATATTGCAATGTGGGAGTACATTTAATAATAGCCATGGGGCCTATTCCGGTGATATTAAAAAATTGCTTCAAAATTGCTATCACTTGCTATAGTTAGTAACCTTGTGAATAAAAGATTTCAGTTCAAAAGCAACTTTATATCTAAATAGTGAAAGAAAAGTAGTACTTTAATGTTGTTCACAGCTTCATATCAGATTTTTTATTTCGAATACGAAGAAATTGTCTGTAACTGTCCTGATTTTACTTATATTGAACTTATAAATTATCCCTTATAAATATGCGAAACTATGCGACATCTTATTATAATCATACAAAACACAATACACAGACAGGTATTCTCTTTCCTTTAGCTATGCATTGATAAATAAAAGTCTCTATGACCAGGTGACTGGTAAAAGTGACAATAGAAAGTAAATTGATGCAAAAGAAACAATGTCGTTAATGTAAGAACTTAATTACGAATATGCGTAGAATTATGTAAAATATGAAATAATTCTATTTCCTAGCATACATTTTATAATTATTAAAAATGTTTATAATTACTTGGTCTGTCTTTTATTATCCTCTGGATTAGTAGGCGGTGGCGCGTGAGTTTCTACCGAGCGTATGGACTGCGCGTCCATGGTAGCCACGGACCTCTTGCGGGGCGTCATACGCATGTCGTTCACTGATGTATAGATACGGTAGTTCCCTGCGAAATATAAGCTGCTAAAATATTTTATCAAATTGTTCAGTTGGTTAGTCATTTTATTTATATATAATAATATCATATATATTTTATTTATATATAATAATACATTGTGAACAACAATATTGTTTATCTGTTTGTGTATTAACTTTTCACGTAAAAATGTCTGCAGATATTAAAATAAAATTTTCACAGATTATGTTGCTAGATATTGGTATGTATAGCTATATGGGTATGGGTATGTATATATATAGCCAAAAGAATCTTTAGAAATATGCCGCAGACAGAAGAAAATTAGTATTTATTACTAAATAATTTTAAACACGCCATCTGCTATTGTTTTTGAATTTATTAACAAAATAATAACAGAGGGCGATGCATAAATGCTTTATTTATTCATGTCGTTTGAATATCATCAATGTACATGCGGGGGAAGTCGCAGGCAACACTAATATTAATAATGTCATATATCTGTGAGTAAGAACGTTACATATTTTTTATTTGTAAGTACTTATAGAAGTGAGTCGTGTATCGGGATGTCCCGTCATGCTGTCCCACTGTTTCCTGCCTGTTAGCTTTCTGTACTGCAATTGATGACGAGCAGTGATGACTTCGCTGATTATAGCCAAAATTGTGCATATTTGTTTTTAGGTATTAAAAGAAGTTATAAAAATAGGTATAAAATTAGTTTACTTTATTATGGATGTACTATGCGACGAATATCTCTTTTCGTAATATGTATCCTAATATCCAAAACTATGCCACAACTCGATAGAATTGTAATCAATCTTAAATATTTTATTTATGTAAATCATTTAGGTACGAAGACTTTAATGAATCACTTGGGAACGTAGTTTGATCCAAGAAGAATTGACAACCATGCTCATTTAATGATTGCAATATTCAGATTAATGTTTACTGTAGAATGAATGCAGTGATTAATAGCATATGTTTTTGCATTTGTCAAACTTAATCAGTAGCCGTATATGAATAGTCCAGTCTCCACAAGTAGTTCCCTTTCATAAATATGACAGATCAACCAGTAGTCATTATACACATAATTATGTATATTATATTTTTGTGTCATTATATTCAGTGTAAGCGCGATTCGATGTGCACGTATTATAATTATTTTATTTAATATCGTAATTGCTCAGCGCGGCATAAGCCGTGCTAGTCGAAGTTCCAGCCATGTGTGACAAACTTGTGGCCAACGAACTCCTTCGTTCCTGCAGCAGAAGCTGGACGTAATGGACGAATAATGCAGTCCAGATCTGTGTGTCCAACTTCAGCCAGGACGTAGGCTCTGCTCTTCGAGTCCCTAAATAAGACTGATCAAATGGTGTCTCGTAGACGTGACGGGACACAAAAAAGCGTACAGGACATTATAACGCTGCTGAAGGAGACCGATCCAGACGACGTGCCGACTTTTGTGGCGAAGGATTTAAACAAACTTCCTCCAGTCACATTTGATCACGTCGATGTTACCAGCCTACTCAAGGATATTGTGTCCTTAAAAAAGAGTTTGGCAGATGTGACGCTACGTTTCAATGCGTCAGAGCACATAATTAGTGAGTTGCGCAAGGAAGTGGACAGTTTGCGCGACTCGCGAAAAGAAACTAGGTCACTTGACGCTATGAACATCAACACGCGCCGTGGGGCATACCGCGATGCGTTCACGGCGGAGTAGCGGTTTCGACGTCGACACTGACGTCACCAGATGTGGTGTCACCGCCGGCCGCCGCGCCCCCCGTGCTCCCCGCCCGCAGCTCGCGAGCGCCGATACCGCTGCATGTGGAAGCAGCGCTAACAAAATCCTCGGTGCAACCACAGCGTCGAGATTTTGCCGCCGTCGTCGCTAGCAAATCGGCTGCTTCAGTACAGCGGCGTGTGCCAAAAACGGCACTGAACATTGACCCTACGTGTGCTGCCTATTTTTGACTGGGAACCGCGACGATGATGGCTTCGTCGTGGTACAAAAGAAGAGGCGCACAAACAGGGTCAATAGGAATCATTGTGGCACTGCACTCACTGGGCCCAACTTTCTGCTGCGTGCTGCTACACCGACCACGACAATGTACCTGTCCCGTCTACATTACGCCATAAGGAGCAGGACATTGTCGATTATATTCGTACCAAGAGTAACCTGACATTGAGGGTAACGCAGCTGAAGTCGCGTCACAACGCGAGTTTCAAAGCGTTTGTGGCCCTGGTCCCCACCTTCATGAAAGAGGACTTCTGATCGAAAGGTGTGGTGTATCGGCGCTACCGTGGCAGATTGCCGTCTTCAGTGCAGTGATCACACAGACAATATAGTTGTATTGGTTTTTAAATATTATATTATATGTATGTTAGTCTATAAGGTATTTATAATATGGGCCTAGTTGCCTGAAATAAATGAATAAATAAAAATATCTATTTTATTTCTATTTTTGCAACCAACCTCCTACTGATATTTGGTCGAAAGTCTGGATAGTCTAGCGATTTAGCACACCGCCTATATTTCGATATACCACGGGTTCAATTCCCCGCACAATTGGCATTTTTTTTGACAAAGATGTAGTCTGTGACAAAAGAACCTTAATAATGTTTAAACTCATAATTTAAACTAATTATTCTAATTCATACCATTGGGCTACCACTAGTAATTATTATTATATGAATAGTAACTAAGTTGGTTGTGGAAAAAATATATAGGTATTGCTACTGTTAGACATACCCGTCGGTGTACCAATGCCGGAATCATCCCCTTTTGTCGGTGTTGAAGATTTTGGTGACGGTTTATCGCTGGTGTCCTGAAAATGAAAAAGAATGTATTATTAAGTGGTTTTATTTCGTGAGATTATGTATAAATTATAGATATAAACACATTTTGTATAAAATATAAGTTTTGTCATTATTAGAAGTCAGTGTTATCAATTAAAATTTATTTTATATCCAAAATAAAAGTTAAGTTAAAAATAAAAATATTTTTTAAATTACATTTTCTTAATAAAATGTAAATATATTCTCATATGCAGTTGTTTTGTTCAAGTTTACTATAGTCCTTATATCCCTGCTAAGTTTAGGACAGGATGGCGCTTTGTGATATATATATATTAATTAATATACCTACTTAACAAATTCTGAGCATCACGTTATAAAATAAAGGCAAAACAGACATTACTATTCTTGCAGTGTAGAGATTGCCTTAACAATTCATATTCATACGATTGTATCGTTACAATTTCATATCGAATGGGTTTGTGAATAAAAAAATGTGGACGCGCGTATCGAAAGCCGTCTGATCGTACAAAATCGGATTAATAACTTCATTAGTCGCTTGTTTCTCTCGATCGACACTAGCTGTATTTCACTATAATCCCTTTAGTGCAGACTGCAGTGCGTTCCTCTACAGCACGTATCCAAATACGTTTTTATTTGGAAGGAAAACTAAAAAATGGTTCTGTGTCTGTAATATAAAAAAATATATGTAGATTTTAGTTTAAATCAACTTGCTTTTATAATAAATAGAAACTATTCCGTCCTAGTGATATAATGTAAAATTTAAAATTCTCCCCAAATTTCATTCAGATTCAGATCTGCTCAGATATTAAAATAATTTATACATATAAGATTTTGTTTGCCGTTTATGTATTTCAACATTTTTTAACTATTATATAAATAAAAAAATAATAAATAAAAAAGAATTAGTGATTATTCTGAATTTGAATAATCAAAACTAATATGGGGTTTACACAATCACAGCACGTTAAGTAAGTGGGAATACAGCATTATTCAGAAAATTTATTGAGTGTTCAACTGTGCGTGAATTCAGAATTTTTGCGAAAATCATATCACAATCACTTTCTTGTTCTTTTCAGTCACTTTTCCATGATCTGGAAAATCATCGACATTTGTTGACATTCTATAATTTAGGTATGTACTTGGCAGCTGAGGCACAATACATTTTTGGCCTCTTGGGTGCGGGATAAAACACGTATTTAGAACATTTCGTATATACATCACTATCGCGGTTTTAGTGTTTCAATAACGAACCTCAATAAAGACTCACACTTTTCAAGTAATGCATCATAGTCACAACTACCCTCCAAAAAAAAAATACGTTCTAATAAACATAGATATGAAAAATAATCACACTCATGTTTAATAATGAGTCATACGTTTAATCGTTATAAAATAAAGTCAATAACTACATATCCTAACCATTATATAACAAAAAGATTGTGATATCATCAAGTTTAACATTTACTCAAGTATATTAAAAAGTTATTGAAATCCATTCTCCTATTTCCTTCTTTCATGGTATAACAAAGAAATAATGACTATAATGATATACATGTTTTGGGTTAATCTGCTTATTTTAGTTTAATTACAAGGAAAATTCGGACAATTTTGATTCTAATAGAAAATATAAAACGCAATTATTTATTTTTTAATATTAATCATGTTAATACCTAAATATGGTTTAATAATTAAATGAATAATTCGTGGAATACCTTAAGCTATCTATCTAGGCCGTTATCATTCAACGACAATGTTCATTAGGTCAAGTTGCAGCAAATCACATTTTTTATGTAATTAGAATTGGGAACAAACTGACAGACGTGAAGGTTTTTTTTATGAATGATAAAGGAATTTTGCACCTGCAGCACCGCTAATAGTTTACGCTAGCGGGCTATCAGTGGAGGATGATAAGATGAGCATGAGGTCAGGTCAGGTAGCCCATCGTGACAAATTCACCAAGAATTTATCACAATGATTTTCAGGGGGAACCACATGGAGGTCAACCTGACATGGTACATTGCTAGCAATGAGATCATTCATGATCATCATCATCATCACCAACCCACCTTACTAATAATCCCCTTTCCCCCTACACCTGATGGTTAGTGGCAAGGGTCACGACATACACAGATATCACGACATCATGTGCACCCAGGGAACATTTAAACATTGCTATTCCGGAAGACTAAGATATCATATCTCCGGATCCTGTAATCTCCCCACATTATCTCACCTATCAATCAAAACACATCTTACAATACAAGCGGCTTGGTAGCTGAAATACCTTAACACAGGTACTTATAGAAACAATAGTTGATTTTGTTCAAAATGTACATTGGTAAAGTCACATCGTCACCTTAAACTGCATTAATAGTTGATATTAAACTACTAATTCTATATTTTTTTGAAATGATGAAACATCAGTAGGCTTTATGGTCTTGACTAGCTACAAGATGTTATATTATCTAAATCAAGTAACAATTACACTTACAAAGGAACAGTTTCACAGTAATTTTTTATTCGTTTATAAAAGTACTTTTAATATAAATATTTTTCCAATATATATGTATGTATCATATAGGACAACATATACATCATTTATAATAAGATACTTTTATCAAAAATTTGATAAATAACTTAATTTTAGCTACAATAAATTGGTTCATTGCCTTAATTGCGTCGACCTACATAGGCACTATGACTTTGATAATCATCGTGTATATAATAAACAAAGATAAATATATTTTTATCCATTGAAAAATCCATTTTTTTTTGTGTTGTCTATGTACTTTTAATATTATGATTATAGACATTAATAAACTAGAGTTTCTGGTTCTGCATATGCAGGTCCTTTTTCAAATCATAATTTTAAAAATTAATAAACCAAAGTGTCGATTTCTACATACACACATAAATTAACGGAATTTTTTCTGAACGGAAACCACGTTTCTGATTAACTATGATATGTAAGCATAGTGATTTAGATAATACACATTGATCGATAATCAAGACTGATTCTCAGATTAATTATTTTATTAGTAAAAATGTGGTAGAATATGTTTTATGCAATGAACAAAGTTATAGATAACTATTTAAATATATTAAATATATGAATAAAATATAATTATTTATAAATAAATAACAATAATTTTGAATTGATTTTTGTAATTGTAAAGAGCACCAACTACATACTACGAACAGATGAAAATATAGATTGCAGTTGTAAAATGAAGGGATTTTCTGTTAGTACAGACCCTAAATATGAGCGCAGTGATGGCTGGCTCATGCGTCATACTTGTGAACGAGTACTGCTTGTAGGGATTGGCCTGCTCTAATTATATTGTGTTTACTACTTGACCTTAATAAATTACTGCTAGTTGGTAGTTTCGACTTAAATATGTAAAATTACAACGATTACTTAAAAGAAATAATACGCAAGTTTCTTGCTCATTCTTTTTGTTGATGACACGGCTTTCCGAATGAACGGTAGATTAAAAAAATTGTGGTAACTATTCAAAGGATATTCCATTCTATAAATATCAACAAATCAATGTGCGACTAGCCTAGATGTTTAATTCATGGTTTCATGAATGTAGTAACTTATGTCGACAAAATTAATTGATAACAAATTAAATACGATTAATGAGTTTTATCGCAAGTGTAGGCAAGCGTTAACGAGATTATGATGACGTTAATGAACATTCCAATTGTGACGTGGTCAGTTAATAGTCAATGGAGGGGTTAAAAAAATAAAGAGATCGAATTTTCATTAGCCGAGGCATTGGGGCGGCACGATGTGTCCGCGGATGGTATTTACAGGCAAGGGTTGCAGAGGCGATGCGGTACAACGGGGACGTGAGGTGAGGGTGGCTCGCGGCCGGCTGGACTCAAAAGGTTTACAGTTGGCTGCGCGAGAGTGACCCGCCTCACAAACACGGCCCGCGCCAACCGTTCGACGCTATGGAACTGTACTTGCCCTTTACACAAACCTTTCAATATTTTTTATATTTTTATAAAACGAAACAAGCTTGATTAAATTGATTCTCGTTTTAATATTTACGTAATGTATAGAACACAGTTTCCGTTTCATGTTTATGTACACGTAACTAAAAAACTAGTGGATCGATTAACTTGATATCTTTATACAGCTTTAAATTAATGTATATACGTTTTATTTTATAATTCCTACCACATTTCGGAATTTGTTCTGTAAGATTTCAACCTAAAATAAAATTATTATTACAAGTTACTTTGTACTTCAAAATATAATTAAAAAAAAAAGAAAGAGAGAGAGACTCGTATGTACACAAATAGACGATACCGACATACCAATCTCTTCCCGATTATTAATTAGGTACTATTTTTTTTTAATAATAAAAAATATGAAGACATTATTACTAAACTAAACTTATCTGTCTTATTTTTAAAAGTACTGTTCGTACTACGTTTACGTTCGTATAAGCAATTTTAAAGGTGTATTTGTTTAAATTAAACGGCGTATCTATTCAATTCTAACGGAGCAAATCATTACAACCCATTGCTTCCATATATACGAATTCGCTGTTTCAACTACCAACGAGCTTAAAATAAATTTACTTTGAAAACAGGACAAAACAATCCGTTCGAAATATTGGATATTTTCTAAATCTGAAAAAGCAGACCTGTAAGTTAATTATTACATTAAATGATTCATAAAAAAATATTAGAATATGCACCTCTCTTTATATTATGTAAATTAAAATAGTATGGCTATATGCCAAAATTTTGGGAAATCTTCATGAAGATGTTTTTCAATTTGAACTTTTTATATAAATGTATATTTTATACTTTTTGTCTTGTATGGATAAGAGCGCTGAATGAAAGACTGCATGTAACTGAAATACGAATGTTGAGATGGACGTATGATGTGACAAGATAAAAATGAAGTCAAGATAAAGACATGAATTACAAAAGAAAGATGGATGGGATTGTGTGATATAAGGCTATAAATTTCACGAGGGTGAATCCGCGGGCACAAGTTGTATAAAATAATAATAAAAATATTGTTTCTATATTTACCACATTGTTGGTGGTTCAATCTCATAACTTCGTAGATAATCTACATATATTTAGCAGGTTTATAGGTTATAATGTTGATATTAATGACTCCCGATGTTTTGAATCATATTTGTAATTATTATTAATATATTAACCAGAAGGAATTCAAACTCTATTAAAAGTGGATTATATATTTACAGGTAATCAGCTGATAAAATAGATATTTTGATTAAAAGATAGACATGTTATCATTAAACGTCGGGTAAATGCTAAACAAAATATTGTAATATAAATTTATAATAGACAGATAAACAGTTTCCTATTTTTATCATTACTATTTACATACAGTGCTATAGCATTATAATATTATGCAGGTGCGTGTATCTAAAAAAAGTACCAACTTTATTTAGTCCATATTATTAAAAAAAATATTAAGATACGCAAATATCCTTATTTCTGCTAAAAATGATCAAGCAATTTCAGATGGTATTCTTTGCAAAAAAATTAACTTACTAAGCGTTTCATCACCTTGATTTACAACCTATAGGTCGTAGGTTAAAATCTGGCAGCACCAAAAATAATTGTATATCCGCCTGACTCATAATAAATATCGTTATGAATCCAAAAAAACTTTTCTGAGAGACAGCGATAGGCTCACCCCATGCCATGTTAGACTCATATATACCGAGCGAAATATGTACAATCACAATAACAGCCATAGTTAATAATGCCACTGACTCCCCCACTGGGATATAAGTCATATAGTATGTTATGCCAAATGAAATTATATTTCATTTTGAATCTAAAACTGTCTTTCCCCGCTTCAGGTTATAATTTATTGGTGTATGTGTACGCACATACAAGGTTATGTTGAATAATTTTGATAAGATCTAATCATACATTAATAAAACCCGTCGGTGACGTTTATATGATTAATCGAATTTGTTTCACAAAATACATGATTAAATAAAATGAATGACTACATAATAATATGATTTGCAATTTGCTATAATAATATTTTTAGTGTACTTTAATTAGTAGATATATCTATTTAAGACGTTTTAGGGTACCGCAGAAAAATAATAGGTTTTTAACCAAACAAAGCCTAGTAATTTACTGTTAGGCACTAATTTACTGATAGTGATCCACGACTTCGTCTGCTGTTTTTAGATAAAAGATCCTCGTAATATAAAAATATAATCTATGTTCAAGTCAAATTTCACTAAGATTTGTTGAGAGATTTAGTCGTAAAAAAGCAACAAACATACAAAGTAATGTATAATAATAATTTATTTTTTACATTATCTTATATTTCAAAACTATTATATTGTATTTATTTATTTCCATCAAATAGACATTTTTTTATTATTATGTAATGTACAATAAAGAGGCTTGTTTTTCTATATACATAAATTCGTCACTACTGAAACCACTTTTAGTAAAAAAAATAAATGTTGATTTTAGATTCAAACAAGAGCAATTCAGAAGCATGAGGTCGACAAAATTAGTAAGATATTATTGATACGGGGCTATTTAACTGTTATCGATGCACAATCAAATTAAAAATTCTGAAATAGTCTCAGACCTGAGTTGTAAAGTTCTTATATAATAATACAAAGATAATTGTTATCACTCCGATTTAAATTGTCATTCGAAAATGTAAGACAGACAGAGTAGTAAAATTATATTGATAAAACATTTCAAATTAATTAGAACATATGTTAATCAAATTTTAATTAACTTTAAAAATTAGCAGACTTTGTTCAGTATTTTAAATCTATGACTTGTTTATTTGAAGGTATATTACGTAATGTCATGTACTTCTTTAAATACATATTGATATCTTTTTAATCAAAAGTGTTTTTGTTTCAATTTAGTCAAACATAAATATTATTTTAACTTATGTTCACATAGAATCAAAATGTGTCTCATAAAATATATATATCAAAATGTTCATATAACAAAATCGGAATAAAATAAAACAATTTACAATAGTGAATACATGTTAAAAAAATATTGACGCTGTATTAATTTCATGACAATTTATAACCCACTAAAGTTTCATTACAATACTCACGTGTACATTATCAGCGTATACTACTCGAGGTCGCCGACGAGCTGCTCTGGAGTGGGTAGCCGTGTTCGCTCCCCCAGCATTAGGTCCAGGCTGGGACACGGCACGTCTCCTTTCCCGATCGTCTGGAACAGCTAAGCTGTTCATCGCCACATTATGTATCTGTGAAGAATTTGATAATATTAACAAGAATGCAGAAAATATGCAGATAATAAGTCAAGAATATAATAGAAATTATTATTTCTTTGTGGTCAGGTAGCGAACAATGTATAACTACAATGGTCGCTCAATCAATCAGGTATGTAGACTATTAAAAATATGCATAGATTATTTTTCTTAACTGAAATTATATTAGTTGGTTTAATTATATTACTTATTACGGCGTTATTTGCAAGAAGTATAACAAACCTTTTAAATTCTCAAATCTGATAAATGGTTAATTAAAAACGGATATTCCTTGTATTCATTCAAATGATTCAATTGAAGGGGATGAGTCATTTATCTTACTTAGCAATAAAGAGTCATTGCAATCTTACATCTAATCTCCATCATAATCATCCCGATACGATCTGGAATCTTGAATCGGTATGTAATCAGTGATTACTATTAAGTTATACTCCAATTCAGGATATAACTTTTTGTAAGCTTGTAAGATAATACTACACTACACTAGATACTACTACTTAGTAACGTAACTTATATAAAAGCATAGTAACTTATGAAGTTCATGTAACTATGGCCAACAATGAGCCACAGAAAAGTAACAACTTTCATCTATATGTACAAGAACAGTATCAAGGACTATTTCATCTTTTTGTACATGAACAACACCAAGAATATCATGAGCCAATGAAGCCCGTGGTTGTCAGGCACTGTAGGACTGTCTCACACTTTAAAAAATCATTTCTGAAATCAGCTTGCAAAACAAAGTCGTCCAGCAGACGACGGGCAAGAGAGATATCTACTCAGGCAACTATGAAGAAATCTACCAGAGTATAAAATAAATGCTCGCCCGCGGTTTCACTAGCATGAAATTTGCAGCCTATGTATTATCCTGATGTATAAGCTATATTACTGTAAAGTTTTATCAAAATTCGTTCAGTAGTTTTTGTGTGAGAGTAACAAACATCTACCCACACTTACAAACTTTGGGAGTTTATAATATTAATAAGATTATTGCGGACAATGATTTATTAATAATTATTCGCAATAATTAATAATTAAATTAGTAATCACAATTCATCATATAATTCTATTTTTTAGTACGTACGTACCCCAGGATCATTTTCGTCATTGTTGCCCGGGAACTCGTCTTCCTCTGCATAATTTTGTATCGATGATTCCGAGTGATATTTTTTGTCACCCATGTTATTTCTATTCTTTAGTTCATTAAACAATTCAGTTCTATCAATTGGGTCTGCCATTATAATGCAATGTATGTCACCAGTTAAATCAAATAGTTTGTTTTCACTAAAACCTCTATTTTAGCATAATTCACTAATCAATAATAACGTCTTATCCGTTCAGAGAAACACAATTAATATTGCAAACGAAACAAATACAGATTGCTATCTGTTATCAAAATTATACATATCTTTAATAAAAGCATAATTTATCGCGTATGTGACTTCTTTTGTTTTTATACCATTGATAATAATAAATTAATAGGTAACTCTATTGCTTAAAATACGCCAGTAGCTATTTAATTCTCTGATAAAATTGATGTTTGTCAAGAAGTTTATGTATTATTAGTACATAATTATAGTCATTGAAATAAAGAATTTATACAATTTCCAGCCCTTCACAGAAACAGAATTGTAATCAGGTTTTATTTATATAGGTAAGTTATAATTTGTCAAAATAAGATAATGTACAAAAGAAAATTATTATATTTTTTTTTTTGTACATTAATGTTTCTTTTGTACATTGTATGTTCCGACCAATACTACGGTATTAGCCGAAATAATGTGCGTGTGGAAGTTGTTTTTCTAAATATTGTTGGAGAATTAAGAGGCCTTTCACATTTTTTGGCCTAAAAGCAGTGTCTTTGGGGTTCTGGTTCTAAGAAATTAAGAGTCGGATATACATTTTGATTCCTGAATTATATAGATAGATATCTAATCTTAAAAACAACATCTTTGAAATGTTAATTTTCTCTTTATATAGTCTTGCAGAATTTCTAAAATAGTTTATTCAAAAACACTAAATGACAGAATAACTAATTGTGGTCGTCGTTCATTAATAAACAAACATAAATTGATATGATATTTTTACTAAAACTTGATAATTTTTAGAAATTGAGACAGCATCGTCCTTTTTTTCATTTTCAACTTAAATATCTAAAAAATTGATCATAATTAAACCCGAAATTTCAACAAAACTTTGCCATAATCATTTCTAATTTTCTCATAAATACAACGAAATTTTTGCATAAAAAAAACATAATAATAAAGTTAATATACTTGTAAATTTTATATAAAAAAAAATATAAGTTTCTAAAAAAAAAATAAACAATAATAATAATTTAAAGTTGTATAAATTCCGTTGCGTCAAAAGTAAATTCTCATGGCTGCGCTATTGCGCTCGTCGATTAAGGACCTATGCCTTTTTTTTACAACACCGCTAAGATAAGACATTCGTCAGTGAACATTAGTATAGAGCGACTAAACCATTTTGATAATTTAAGTAATATTTAATTAATTTTGCTAATATATACTTATTTCTACGAATATTAATTTAAAGTTGTTGTTAAATATATATATATAATAATAATAATAATAATAATCTCAAGACAATTCACACAGCGCCGTCTAGACCTAAGTTAAGCTAGTTAAAGCTTGTGTTATGGGTACTAGACAACTGATACATACATACATAGATATTTTTTTTTTTCGTAAATACATACATATTATATATAGAAAACACCCAGACCGACACAAACAATCATACTCATGAATACAAATGTTTGTGCCGTGCGAGAAAATCATGGAACCCGCGACCATCGGACGTAAAGCGGTGTACTAAACCACTAGACCACCGAGGTCGTCAATATATATATATATATATAATATTTATTTTAGCATGCCAAGACAAAAGTACAGTTATGCTACAAATAAAACCTACCGCCCCCGCTGGACTATGAAAAGCACAAGAGCATGGTATTTCGTCACACTAATGGCAATTAATTGTTAAAATTAAAAAAGAGAACATTTTAGTATTTTTATAAACAACGCTTATCTGAGAGAAAAATGTAAGAAAATGTAAGACCAATTTTACTCTATGTTTATTTTGTAGTTTTTTTCTAAATTAAAATAGGGTTATTGTTTATGAAAATACCATTATTATTTTTACGTACATTTGTCTTGTGTTATATAGTGTATATCATCCAGTATGCAATGTGGATTGTAAATAAATTACCAAATTATATATAAATTATATTCCTTAATGTTTAGAGATATTTTATCCAATTTTATTTTATTTTACACAATACAGATATTTCTAAATTGCAGCTATTCTGTTATTATACTCGTTGGACTTTCATTACTGTACAGTTATGTCAAATAATTAGCGTGTTTGGGTGAAAAGTCAACAACATTATAAATGTTTTTATTTAGAGACTAGCTTTTAGCTTGCGGCTTCGCCCGCGTGAATATGGATATATAGGTTATCGCGCGTTTAAAGATCCGTGTACAGTATTGGGACGTTATATATAAACCTTCCTCTTGAGTCTATCTATTCTGTCTATTAAATAACAACGAATCAAAATCTGCGTAGTTTTTTAAGATCAAAACATACATAGATCTATTACATGTGTAGATGATATTTTAACCGGAAATTGAAGCCGTTAAAATGGTATTGGCAGATCAGTTGGAATCATCGGTATTCTTGGTATATAAGCTGGTTGCCCAGCTAACGTACCGGTTATAATGGTCTACAATTAAATTGTCTTTCAATTCATTAGTAAGCAATATATCCAATGGAACGCCATTGCACATGTTCGGCGGGCTTAAATTTCATGACTGGATCATGCTTTTGAGAAATTCCTTCCTCAAGTTTGAGCATTTAGTGGCGGAAATCACTATCTGTGCTTCCATAAAAATGAGCACTTTCAAATTTGTGACGTAGTTTTAAACTTTCAATTAAAGTCCATATGCTGGAGACGATCTTAATGACACAGAGAGTCTTTCAGAAATCTCCAGCAAAAATATAAAAGTAATCCCGCCAATGAGAGCAGAGGTGTTTTAAGGTCTTTTGGTTCTGTCCAAAATCTCTATAGCTCATGGATATTTCATTACATATAATCAATGAGGCGTCTTATAATAATTTATAAAAAGGTTTGACATTAACAATTAATTATTTATCAAGAATCGAAGAATCGGCCAACCAAGAACGAGAAGCTGCAATATCAGCCAATATCATGCGGCGACGTCAATGATCCAGCCGAACAGCAATGATAGCAGTTGAAGCTTTTTTTACAGACTTAGGAATGGAAATCCGACAACGCCAGTTGACGGCTCTCCGGATGGAAAGGCTGAACGCCGCCGCATCCGTCGCCTATATACATGAGCAGCCTCACCGTCCTTACCTGCCATGTTCATCCGTCTTCACATTGTTTCCCTCATGCGTTGCCATTCCTGAAAACTCGGGTTTTATTGTGTTTGTCATCCTTTAAATTCACTACCATATATATACACAGGTAGTCTATATAGATAGATATACATATACACAGATAGTATACCCTGAGAAAGGTCATAACTACTTTATAGTGCGAAAAAAGTATTGTAAGTGACGATTAAAAGCAGGAGATGAAAGGTTGTATAAAAGTATCGTCATTGTTTAATTGAAACAAAGAAACTCCTTTTTAGGTTATAATCTAAATATATTTCCTTTATTTGGTCAATTTCATTATACTCACGCCTGACGAAGTCGCGGACACACCTAATATACATATAAGGATGGGACCTTTAAATCAAAACAAAGCCTTGAAAACACAACTATTATATATAAATAAAATAATTATTTGCTAAGTATAATATTTAGAACAAGTGAATATGGCAATAATGTATCCGACTCTTATAATAAATTATATTGTATCTATTAATAAATAAACTGAATTAATATGTAAGAAGAATTAATTAGGCGTAAATTTATGTTATAGTAATTTCATCTTTTGTCCTTATCCCAATTATTTGTTACTCATATTACTTAAGGTTTTGGCTTTTAGTTGTACAATCGGCCAGTCATCCTGACATCAACCCTCTAGGAATAATATAATGAAAAAATATGGTCATTATTAGCACTTTGATAATTAAGATAAATCACATTATTTAAAAAAATCCGATTGTAGTCTCAGTTAAGTAGAAACATATCACATTATTAATTAAAATATTACAAGGATCAAAATGGTTCATACTAAATCCAGCACCGATTGAGCTACACGGTTATTTGCGTCTGTGTGCGTGTATTACTGTATGTGTGCGTAAATCCATGCGATTAAACCTAAAGTTGAGCGGCATCATTTTGTAATAGGCCTCTTAACACTGTCAAGAGTATTATTGCTAAAATAGCCGTGATAATAAGCATGTTAAATAGTAAAATAACAATTAATAAATAAAGGAATAAAGTTATTATATTACTTTGCCGTTTATTTTATGTTTATCATAAAATAAATTAAATATCTATTTGGAATATATTTAGTAGATACGAGTACACGTATTCAAATTCTAGTGATAAACAAAAAAATCTTTAACATTATTTGACCATAATCTTTATATAACTTGCAGAATATGATCGCAATATATCGAGATGTGTGAATTAAAACTGCGTGGCAGAAATCCACAGAATAACTAATAATGTGATGTCCTACAGGTAAGAATAAATATCATTTATTCTTATCTTAGGGTATTTTAGTTACTAATGAAACATTTTTATTCTAATATTAATAATTTTTGTCCCTGCCATCCACTTCAACGAATATGAACCGCAGCATTGGCAAACTACAGCAAAGTAGCAGAAACAGGATGCTTCTTGATGGGCAATTGTGTATTCTAAAACGGAGTAGATGAACACAGTGACTAAAAGCAGAAGTGGTTTAGGGTTACAGCAATCAATGCCTATGTAGAGTAGAATTTGGCTAAAGTAATAATAATGAGTAGGTCTGAATTGTTTTATTATAATTTATTATGTCGTAATAATATAACCAGTAGTGGAAATATTTATACCGTTTAATTTAATTTTATATAAAATACAGAAAAAAGTTTACAGTTACACTAAAAACATATCTGAGTAATATGTGGAAAAGTGACTAATACAAATCTAAATAGTTAAATGTATAAAAGAAGAGATATCTCTTCTTTATAATAATAAAACATCAAAAACTCATGGACTAAAAAGACACGTATTGACATGTATCTATTATTGATTCATTAATTTACTCAGTACTTCCTTTAACTCTATAGAAAATTGTGAAACCGGCAGAGCTAAGTCTTGAGTAGTAGTAGGCGCACTTTTGTCTTGAACAACATAGTCTGAAGGTACCACAAATGGATGTTTCTTTTCTCCTGAAGCGTACATATCTTTAAGACATTGAGGCATTGGTAGGTGAGGCCGCTGTTCAAGCCATTTTTGAAATTCTTTTGTTGATCTGAGAAAAATATTTTTTAAGTAATGTAATAAATATTTCGATTCAAAATAGAAAATTTACTACCTTTTAACTGTTTACAAAACCTCTTACTAACAACAGTGATTCACAGAAAACTTAATTACTAACGACGAGATCCATGATAAACAAATATTTATCTATACATAAACCACAAAAATAAATATGTTGTCAATATAGGGAGTAGTCAATAGATTATTCTGTAATTTAAAGTTGGAAAGTCAAGATTTGAATTGTAATGGATAATACGGTAAAATAACCCGAAATTGCAGTAAAATTTTAGAACACAACGAGCTCCAGTGACCCTAATATACCTACGTAAGAATGTAATATCACGTTTGTAGGCAGCATTTTCTATTGATTTATTTTAGGCCATAAGCTTCTTATTCCGTTGAGGTGACAGTCAGACATGCTAGCTCTGACATGTTGCATTTTGAATACTGTGTTTATAATTCGTCTAAACAAATACTATAGAAGTTATAATCTGTAAAGAAAATAATACTCACGTGAGATGCTGTATGTCATCCCAAACACAAGCCATGGAACGCAGATCCCCGGGGATCTTAACAGAATGCCACATCTTCTCCGTGTTGTTCTTAGGTGGGATGTGCTTCATCTTCAGTGGTAGTACAGTGCCGAATGCCATTATATGCGCTGGACTTGTTTCGGCATGAATATCGTAAGCAATCTGTCGGGTTAAAACTTTTGGACACGACGCCTGCAACAAGGGCAAACAAACTTTATTGGTATCTTTCAGCAGGCACACAATATATTAAAAAAGACATTATAAGTTATCAAATATTTAAGATAAAAATTATAAAAAAAGTAAAATTGTTCAACATTTCATAAGTTACTTTAGGTACTAGATACTACTAGGTACTTACTTTAGGTTCGCCAACATATTTTGCAATACTTTGTAAGACACACGGAAGTATTTTCGGATCCAAAACCAAACCTCGTGAGGCATGCTCGTCAAACCAAACCTATAAATAAATAGATTAAGATAATATTATTACTTTATCTTTAGTGATATCAAAAAGTCCCCTACTTATTTTGGTTACGCAAAGAGATCTAGAGTAATAAAGTCTTAAAAAAAAATAGATACCTGCAGCGCGTGCTTTTATGTTGTAGAATAATTAAGAATTGTTTCTTTAAAGAAACAATCTGACTTGATATATTAAGGTTTAGTTTTATTCACTTGATCATAGAAGATATAATCATAGTAAAAAATAATATAATAATATTAATTTATAGTAATATTATTATAGATAGAATTTTTATTAATAAATAATAAAGAAAACGATATCCCTTTACAAAATATAGGTACATAATTTACCTGGAAAAGAGACTCAATATCTTCTGGTCGTTTAATTTCACTTTTGAACTCAACGTTGCCTAAATCTACCCACCAATCATAAAACTCTTTAGATATCTGAAAGTATGCAAAAAATATATGCGACAAGATCCAAGTAAATGTATGATAAATTTTTATATAAAAATAATTTGGCAACCATACTTATTGTTTTTTCGCCTTACCAAAAAAATACCCCAGAACCATTTTTAATGTCGCAATTAGTTTGGATGAAAACGCATTATTGGATGCAATGTATAATAAAGTAATATATTATAATATGTTCTTGGAACTTATTTTGTGTGAAAGTTACCTTTCACACTATTTATCCAAATTATTTAGTGTAAAGGATATTTATTGGGTCTTCCATAAATCAGCCTGGCAATTAGTAAATCGTTTTAAAATAGCTGAAATAGGTGAGACAAAAGCTGAGAGCTGTGTCTCACCTATTTCTTCGCCATGCAACTTATTTTGTAATATGTTTTTGGGTTGAAGGGTGAGATTGAAAAGTTATATATTATTATGTGTATAGATAATAACTTTTTTGGTCATGATTTCAGCTTTCTTACTGAATTCATCAGAGGCCGACACTTCGTAAGTTTTCTGCTTATACTTTGATTTCCACTTGATCATGTCAGTTTCAGATTGATTGCAATAGAGCATGTCAAAATGAGGGTTCTTTGTATGCCTCTGGTATGGACTTCGGCTGAAAGTATTACGCATAATGACAAAGATAACTTATAAATGATGAATAAAGCGTTTGTCCAAGTGTAGCCAATCAGTGTCATAATTTAGACTCCAATAATTCTACGTCATATTTCATATCTGTAATGCTAATGAAAATAAATATAACAATAAGGGAGTCGTGGCCTAGTTACTGACTGCTTTCCTGATTTTCGCAGAAAATTCTAAGATAGCAGAAAACACAGTGAGATTTTTATCAGACTGGAATAGTAGACTAGTATTGGAGACTGCCACGACAGATTCGATTCAAATACGGGAAAATGTTTCAGTGAAATGTGAGTATACTGTTTATTATGATGTCTATATTTAACATTGCCTCTGACTACTTAATCTAGTATAATATCCGTAAAAGTATGTTATTGTAAATTAATATATAATTACAAAATGTATTTGCTAGCAGGGTGAACAAGTAAATCATCACTTGAGTTTGCGGATTCGTCGCTAGCCGATCGTTCTGATTTGTACAGCTTACTTCTACTAGAGTATGTTCTCATTATAGTCTTCGACAAAAATTTGGAGAAAGATTTAGATATTGTTTTCGAGAACATTTTCGAAGTTATTAAGGATTTCGTTCTTGAGACAGATTTGGAGCGTGACACCATTCTCTCATCACTTTCCGCCACTGAGGATACACTCCAGTAATCTGATTCCTCTTCTTCATCTTTTTCTTCTAAAGATACTTCGAAGTCGCTCATAGAAAACGTAGGCCGCATATTTACCTGAAATCGTTAAACTAAGATTAGCAAATCCATACAATATATGTATATATAATGATGTAGTATAATACTAAAATTTACAGGTAGTTAAAAAATATATAATATAGTTAGACGCAACAAATTTTCTTCATTGCATGATGATATATAGATCTCTTCTGATAATTATACTTCTTAAATAAAAAATATCACTACTATTGAGATTAATACGCAATTTTATACTAATACAATGAATAAATAATAATTATCCTACCCTAATCCGTTACAAACAGTATCTTGTATAATATTTAATGTAATGTAACTTCACAAATTCTAGGATATTGCTAGTACCAATACATATATTTGACCATTAAAAAGCATTCCATTTACACAGAATAAATTAGAAGATATTCAGACGAAATTGTTTTGAGAATTGTTTCGTTTCCTTTTTAGCAATTACGCAATGGTGATGTTTCGTTAAAAGGAAAACAAAATGTGCACATGTTACCCTGATATAGGTGATATGTTTTAAGTTGATAATATTGTTATTAGAACATAAACCTAGTAAATCTGTTGAGCTCTTTACTGTATTATTGTTCAAATCCAGATTACAATAGACATAAGACATTTAGGATATTTTTTGTCCTAATAGTACAATTTAATTATAATATAGCCAAAGCCCATTCACGCGATATCTCAATTTTTAAATCAATATATTTTGAAATTATGTGATAATAATAATAAATAACTTATATAACTTCTTTTATTATCGTTCAGTTCAAGCTTTTTACTAAAAATCAATACAGACTAACATCTTCACCGCAATGGATTATATCTACTTAAACTCATGTGTAATATTAATTATGAAGTAAAAATAAATCTCACTCCTACAGAGGTTGTCGTCTTGTAGTAATGCTCAGATGCATCCAAGGAGGACGTTTCAGATTTCGGTTTGTATTGTGTCGCTTCAAATGGTAAATTAAATATTTTAGCGATCCTATGAAACATGATTGGGCCCACCAGTTCTCGAACAGTATCGCATTGTGTTTCCCAGAACTATAAAATAAATGCAACTACTTTATTATATTTCAACTATTATCAGCAAATATAACTTGATATTAAAGTGTACTTGTTGTAGGTGTGAATTCAATTATACATCTACTGAAGTATCAGTTTCAGTTCAGTGATTTTTATATGGACCTGGAATGACAAACAAACTGACTACTCGCCTAATGGTAAGTAGTAATCATCGCCTATGTAAATCAACAGAAGCAAGGACAACCCCTCATTATTTTATGACGCGCGTGGTAACCCCTCATGCGTTCGGAGAGAAAGGGATTGTTAATAATGTAGACACTAAGAACCCCATGGATAGCAATGTATCATGTCAGGTTGACCTCCGCGCGATTCCTCCTCGATCCTAGCCAACGTATGCCGATAGCGCAAGCGGATACACCATCGTCCAATCAATCCGCTGTCCAATTCAAACGGCGATCGAAATTACGACGGCATGAGCCGACGTTTGAACCCCTAGTGATGCCCTCAGAATAAAGTCGTATAGGTACTTCAGGTGGGAGTTGACATTAAGACGCTTTCGCGTATTTGAAGTGCCTTCTGCACTCCCCTATCGTCCGGTGTAGTTGTAAAGACCAGTTACGGCTAACAGCATTAAAGTAGTCAGAAAAAAAACCTGCGTTGCCTTACCAGAAAACTAAACCATATTTCACCCTTTAACCGAAATACAGAAAGCTGTTTTGTGGCTAAAGTGAATAAAGTAAGTGAGACATAAGTGGAGGTGACTTGCGTAAAGTCTACCTAGGCTATACCCTTATTTACCAGTCAGAACTTAGTTGAATCGTCTATTTATCGTACCTACTGATATTTAGATATATTAAGACATACTTGATCATCCTTATACGATAATTCTAGGTCCCGCATTACATTCTTCCAGTGTACTTTAACAGAAGCCTCATTTTGTTCGTATCGCGACGGAGTAATAACCCTTATGTACTTCGGCTTACCCCAACTTTTAATGAGGGACCTCTTTCCGCAAGGCATCGTGTAAAATTATTAAATGCTGTTATAGCTAATAAATAAATTGATGAAATTGTTTTAAGTATCAAATATACGTATACAATAATTTCTACGTTTATTATTTTTAATGTCAACTTGTACAGGTGTCAGTAACATACAGGCCACTTAATACTACAGATATAAGTAGGTAGCTGGTGAAATAAATCCAGTGAAGTATTTGTATAATTGTATACATAAAAACTAATAAAACGGCGGTAGACCAAAAAAAACTAATACCGTTTATTTAGGAACCGTGTGGTTACATTTCATGTAGTCTTTATGAGAGTACAATTAATTTGTATCTGCTAATTACCTAAATTTCGTATTTAGAACAATAGTAAAAAACAATTTATTTATTTTTAATGCTTTATAGTATCAACATTAAAATCAGATATATTGAAAAATAAGTATATTAATAGATTAAAGAAAGAAGACGGTGTACAGAAGGCGGTCTTATCGCTAATGCATTCTCTTCCAGACAACCTTAAGAAAAAGAGAGTATTATCACTACATAGTCGCAGTCGCTATCTGTCCATCCCCTATGTATGCTTAAATCCAGTACGCAACGGATTTTAAAGCGGTTATTCTTACAGATAGAGGAAGGTTTATATATAGATATATAAATACAAGTACACCCATGCGAAGCCGGGGCGAGTAGCTAGTTAAAAATAAAGTACACATGAGTGGAAATAAGTTAACAAAAATAAAATAAAAACATTCAAGATATAGGTATAGGTTTAAAATGTAGGCTAACTTTGGAAATTGTAAAAGTCAAATAATTAACTCATTAGGTACGTAGTATTTATTTTCATTTATAACTTTATGAACTCCTACAGTCATTGGTGGAAATCTTAATTTTGCCCTTAAATATTCCTAAGCAGAACATTTGTACATTCCATATTTTTCGAATTATTATATGACAAAATAATATAAATCCTATCTAATATGATGGGTATTTAACTAAAAACTTTTATTGTAAAGGAATACGATAAAATTCATACTATTTTAGTCCAGATACCTGTGCTGCCATCTGGGAAACTTTAATGTTATTAAAAAGCAATATTTCAAGCAGATCGCTACTTCCACTATATTCGAGCATACAAGGCGAACGCCATCTAGCTGATAACTGCCAAAACTGCCAACACTTTTGTTTCATAATAGCTTGATGTACCTCAATTGAATATATAGGTGGCACTAATATTCTTAAAGATATTTATACCGAAAATGTTTCAATTTTTTTTAAGGAATAATAAGATTATGGATATACTAGAATTAAATTGTTTAATAAAATATTTAATGTTATGTAAAAAATAAAATATACACTATATTTATAACAAAACTTTATTATAAAACTGTTACAGAATGGTCAGGTTTTCCTAATCGTTCCGCATCTTCGAAAGTATCAGGTACATTCAATCCAAGGGTTTCAGGTTGTGTAAGCGCTAATATAGCAGCTATAATAGCCATTGTTCCAAACAACATAGATGGTATTCCAGCCCAATAAACAGCAAGTGGGGGCGTTAATGGCGCTAGGACTGATCCAACCCGTCCGACCATAGACGAAAACCCTAAAAACGAATGCCGATGTCTTGTCGGATATAGTTCAGAAGTGTAAAGATACAATGAAGTGAAAACAAGACCTGTGCAATATTTACCAAACAAAAACAAAAACATTGATAAACCACGCATGTCTCGCGGCGTGAAAGCAAATCCAATACAGCAAAGTCCACATAGAAAATAACCTCCGAATATAGTGATCCTACGACCGATTCTATCTAAAATTAAAACAGCTGTCCAAAATCCAGGTATCTCTATAGCGGCTACTGCTATATAGTTTATGTACATATTACCAGATAAACTAACAGAATTTATGGATAAACCATAATATATAAACGTTGTTGTAATCCACATAATAGGTGTCGTACAACATCTACGTAACATTACCTTCGATTGTATAACGCGGAAAAATAAATTTTCGTCTTTATCTTTTCTATTACTTGATTCAATTTGGTTAGGTATAGCTGTAAGCAAGTAGTCCATAGCTTTGTCAGAAATTGTCTTTCCATTTAATCTAGCTGCCCTTTCCAGAGTAGCTCTAGCTTTTTCCTGTTTATTTTTACTTAGCAACCAGCGATAGCTCTCTGTGACTATCCAGTAGTATGACACGAGAAGGAAAACTGGTGTAGACATAGCTAAACTAAAGTGTCGCCATTCTGGAATAGCCGACGCTACTAATCCTACAAGTACCTGCCCAAAACCGAAGAGAGAAGACATAGTTGCACTGGTTAATACACGAAATTTAGGTCCCACTATTTCGGCAGCTAAAATGTAGGCTGCACTAAAAATTCCACCGCCAATAGCGGTTTGTAAAAATTGAAATGTAACGTACATTGTATAGTTAACTGAGAATGAGCGTATAAATCCAGTAAGCGCTAAATTAAACGCAAAAAATGCTATTGAAACTCGTCGCCCAAAATGATCTGATATATACCCTGCTAGGGGGAGTGCAATCATGGCACCGAGACTATTGAGAGTTCCTGCTAACGCACGCAACCATTCTTTACATGCCAAGTCAAAATCGTACACAACAGAATTAGTTTTTAAAAACACATAACTTTCACATGATATTGTAGTGTTTCTGTCAAACCATTCCGCGGGACAATAGTCCTCGGTCGACTCGGTAATGTTCACAATACTGGCGTATCTGCTGCAGTCGTCGAATCCGGATGAATCAGTGGGCACAGCATTTTCTATCCAAGGAGGGTCATAAATAGGCTGTGACCCATCACACTCCGGTACGGCACATCGATGAGGAAGCCGAGCGGCTGTAAATATATAATCTGCCGCCATAAATGCCGAAGACATCGACGGCAATGCCAATAATAACAAGTTGATTATTTGATATTTTCCAAATTGTCCAATTTCGGCGTTCAACACATCCTCGAAAACAATTTGTGGCTCACTTTCACTCGATTTCTGTTTTCCACTCATTGTGATACATGCGCGTGTTTTCGAATTTGTATTTTATTTAAGCTAAAATGAAATTATAATACAATGCAACATTTATATACTTTATCTCGCAACTATAAATGCTTATCTAATATACTCTGCTTACAGATAGGTGAACCATTATAATATTATCAAGCAAGACTATGATTGTAAGATGCGTGGCAAATTTACGCGTACTATACGTAACACCTACAGGGGGGGAAGATATTGTTAGTAAGAGTTATGAAATATAACATACTAGCTTTTAACTGGGGCTTCGCTTGCATTGAATAAAAAAAATGTTTTTTTTAAATAACAATTATCCTATGTTCATCTATAAACTCCAAGAAAATGTGTACAACATTTCATAACATTTTTAATGATTAAGAATTAGGTCAATCTCAATACGTTGAAACTGGTGTGAATAAATTATGACGAAGTCGTCTCGATGGACTAACTGGCCTAACTGAATTCATTCTCATATATATCTACTTGTTTCCCACTAGCTTAAAACGTTAGCAGGTGGAGCCTCGTTAAGTAGGGCCGGCTCACCTGCATGGGCAACCAAAGCCGGGGTCGGGTTCGAATGCTAACATAGTGGGACTGGGCCGCGGGGTCTCTTATTATGCTATGACCGCGAGAAGGAATTCCGCTTTTACCAGGCAGTACTCTGGCTGTACCCGTTCATCCAACTTCTGAGGCCCTCCCTGATTCATTTTCCACACTAGAAGAAGATAAAGACACCATTCCAATATCACTCATCTAATTAAAAAGACCTACCTACATTTTAATCTTTTCGGTACTCTCGTTGCTTTCTCTCATAGAAGAGAACAACAAAGCAGCTCTTAAATAACTATCATCATCATAATATTATAGATAAATAGTATCTCTTTCTAGATTTTATATAATATAAAATGTAAGTCTTTTACGAGTGCGACCCACTTTCTTCTCTTTCTCTCCTTTTATTTCGTAACATACTGGAATGTTATGTTATTATCGATTATAATGTTTATTCTAAAATCAAATTATTAAATAAATATGTACTTCGGATTTTTTTAATCTCTATATATACTCAGACCTTTTATGTCTGTACCTGGAACTAAAATAATTCAGATTTGAGTCTGCCAATGCTAATAGTTCTTGAAGGTTAATAAGGTTATAAATATGTAATTTTCAATCACATTCAATCACAAGTTGTTATTGTATTATTATAAAAATATATTGTACAATTAATCATCGAATAATATTATATATGTACTTATATGTTGTAAATTAATTATAATAAAATAAAATTATATAAAACTATAAATAGTAAACTTCAAAACAAACAAAAAAAATGGACACGGTACCCGCACAGTGAACGGTGAATCGGTGAATTTTAAGAAGTTCGTCTTTTTCTATACTAAAAAAATAAAAAATAAATCTATTTCATCTCCATTGTAAATTTTAATTTGACATTAACTGGAATCAGCTAATTGTGATAGCCGACGTCGTATGTGATCAATCGGAGCCGGAGCTTCGTTTGGCGATGCCGGCGGTGGAGTGGCGCCGTACCCACACTCGAAAGTAAGGCGTGCCTCCAGCACGGCGGGGTCGAACATGCCCAGGCTGCTTAAGTATGGGGCTCTGCGGTATTCTGGATGGTCGATCATCCAGCGACAATACTCTTTAACACTTCTGGAAAATAATAAGAATAACCATTTGTAAAACTCAATACGAATGCTATATGTACTACTGACATTCACCTAAAAAGCCGGTTGTACTTTATGTTGTAATGTTAATTCATGTTAATATTGGCAATGAGTAGGTACTTACTATAGCGTTCTGAATTATTAAAATTATTACAAAGTAATGCACCTATTAGTAGTTGTATATAATAGTACATTTTACGAATAATATAAAAACATTATGTAATGTAATTTTGTGATAAAAAATAAAAATATTAATTATTATTTCTGGTTCAAATTAATATTACATATTCTTAATACCCATACTGTCACGCGAATGGTATAATAATTTCTTTAGAAAAACCCTATTTATTTGACTTTAGGTAGAATTAACACGCGTTGCACAAACGTATTTAAATGTAACTGACTATTCATTTTATACAAGCTAACCCGCACAACTTTGTCTTCGTCACATTTGTATCGTTTTTGCAACATTTCTGATTGAAGCCAGATTCTATTGGTTCTAACGTGATATTATGTAGCCTTTAGCCTACCTCGATAAATAGACTATACAATACTAAGAGAGTTTTCAAATTCGGAAAAGTAGTACCGGAGATTACTCCGAACATACAAACTCACAAATCTTACCTCTTTATTATATTAGTATAAATAATTATACTATGTATAAAAGATGTAGTAATTTTTGTGTTTGGCCATATAATAAATATGAGATAATTAAGCTAACATAGTAATCTGAGCTAATTGTTCTGATTAATTATGTAACACTATTATTATCACATAATCAAATTGAGACAATTAGATATCATAATAGTAAATAATGAAGATATCTAAAAAGTAGTTGACGTACATATTTTTATAATTATTATTTATACTTCAATAAAAATACGAAATAACCTAAGATTTGTGATGCCTTCCCACACTGTTTTCAAGGTGACTAAGTCTTTCGGCACATATCGAGAAGATCGCCACAGAGTCTTAGTGTTGTTCCTCGGTGCTTTCCATTGGTCTTGGAGGGGAATACTCTGGGAGAATGCTGTCAGGTAATCGGAACGTTGCTCCGCTTCAATATCCTTTGTTATCTCTCGTTCAAGCGTTGCTTGACGAGATTTCTGAAAGAAAATCACTGGTTACCTTTTTTGTCTAAACACAAAATTAATTGTTAGTCTTGTTGCGATGTATAGTGAGTTAAGTTTAGCAATGTGTATAATTTAACCGACTTGAGTTTATAAATAGTGTTTTAAAGACCAAGTCCAAATTTAAAATACTTATTAGTAGAATTACAAAATATAATTAATTATTAAATACAACTAGTAAACTTCTGTACTAGTAAAATTCTGTAACTTAATTATAGGGGGCGAAATAGCTAAGAGCCAATGATTCGAAAGTACAGGACGAATCTGTTTAATAAATTAAATAATGAACAAGACTTTTATAATTTGGAGGGCCTTATCCGATGAAATTTTCACCGGCATTTGATGGTATAATTATTTAACTATACTACTATGCTACTGGTATTGTTTCCACGGTATCACTGATAGTAAAGGGTTGCTGTAGCCTATGGACGCCTGTAACGTTAACGTTTGCAAAGAAGAACTATTTGCTATACTTTTCTTCAAAGTAAAAATTGTAGCTACATGGAAACTTTACGAATTTCTTTTTATGTAATTATATTCGGGATCTAATTATATAATTGGAATAGAATCTATCCTAATTTTTTGAATTTTTTATTAAATGAATTTTTTATTTTTGCTATTTCTAGATTAAAACTTTGTTAATTTGTCTAAATATCCGTGAAAGAAAGAGAAAAAGTAAAAATATTGGTTCTAATCGTTGGCTTTTGACATATTTACAAATAAGATGGTACTTAGGTTATTTGTAAAACAACGAAATCATTTAGTCTAAACATATGCGGCACTATAAAACTTTAACCTCTGGATTTCCGGTGACGACTGCAAGTTTTTCCTCGACGGATGGCAATTCTTTGGGCACCACTCGCAAGCTGCGGGCTACGTGGGTATCAAATTCTATCTGTACATAAACATACGTATAAAATCTACGATGAAATTAGGTATTGTTGACAAATAATTAATAGATTTTAAGATTATACGATGCTGTTTCTTAAGATAAAAGATAGCCTATGACAATGACAAAATATATCTGAACGTCAAATATAATTACGATCCGTTTAGTTGATCAGAAATTAAAATGTAACAAAAAATATGAATTAGTATAGATAATAAAGAAATGTATACTTAACCGGCTTTGTGAATTACTTAGGTATACAATATTTCATAGATATGCAATGTTATTAAAAATGTATCCTCATACTTTATTCATGGTTATAAATTTACGATCCTATGTTAAAATAGGTAAAAAGTACTTGGAATAGTTCCTTGATAGCTTTCGGCGTGAACAGCTGTGATTGTTGGTCGCCACCCAGCTGTTTCATGTATTCGCAAAACTCCGTTGCTATCTGAAAATATTGAAATATTTTTAAAGCATTTGTATAAATTTTGTTAAACGTACACAAAAATTTTAAAGCACATATATGTAACACACTTATCCTTAAACTCCTATTTATAGCTATTATTTGATTCTGTTATTATTGATTTATTTAGTAATTCTTTGAATATATTCATTCATTAATACTAATGAATGAATTTATGCAAAGAATTACTATACGTAAAAGTTAGATTTTTGCCATTTGGTTCGAAAACATTTTCTTACATGTAATATATACCATGCTATACGTGATCAGAATGATTAATTTAGTCGACAAGCGACATTTTTTAATACTTTATGTTCAACATTGAAAGAAGAACTCAATGCGTATGGGTAGGAAATTAATAACACCTTTGGAAAATATTGATATAAATGGTCGTCAATTGATTATTTTTGTGTACTACGCATGTGAGGCGAAAATCGTCTAATAATGTCATTCTCTCTCTCATTCTTTCAATAATGTTTTACATAGCTTATGACGAGAATTTTACCTCATTATAGGTAGGTAAATAAAAACTTATAATAATGTATTAATTACTCCTTATTATTTACATAGACAGTACTATAAAAATACTAGCAACTGCCAGCAACTTCGTCTGTTTTTAGATCAATAACTTCCTCGTGTTACAAATCTATTTTCACGTCCAATTACATTAAAATCCGTTCAGCCATTTAAATTGAAAGGTAATAAACACACATTCACATTCATAATATAAGAACTTATAGTACGGACTACCTCTATACATATTTATATGTTAGTAAATGATGTCAATGTTTTTCACCAGTACCCTATCTGTGAGATCGTCAGCCTTCCTAACGAGACTTTTCTCCTCCTCCTTCTCCGCTTGGAGGTACCTGGTGGCCCACGTCACTTGCTCACGCTCCGGTTTCTTTAGGAACTCTTGATGGATGTTTGGCTTGTCGTCTTCCTGATCACTGCAAATAATAACAGAGAATTCTTTTATTTATTACTAGCTGCTACCCGTGACATTGCCTGTTTTCTACCCACAAAAAAGTATAGCCGTCCTGGTGGTACAATATATCTTCACATTAAATTTTATTAAGATGTCTTCAGCCATTTAGTTGCGAAAAGGTGAGAAATAGACAGACATATAAACTGTCTGTATATATAATTTTAGTATGAATAAGTGACTGTATGTACAAATAAAAAAAAGTAAGAATATTCATACCTAATAGGTGCTAGGAGGTAACTACTAAGCAGCGTGTAAATATTTTATCTATCTAATGCTTAATACTTACTACATACCTACAGTCATAATTAACCTTGTGAAATGCCGACAGAAATTGATAACAGTGCAAACATTGTTATTTCATGAAGTAATTATTTGTGCATTTTCTAGACACGTAAGTAAAAAAAAAAGAAACTAAAAGCGTGTTCGAATAAATATATATGACAAACCGTGATTGATATCGTTCAAATTTCTTTGTGTATATATACCATGACAAATTTAGTTATGACATATTTAATATTTGGATAGTAAAGATGGAAATTGATTCTTTTAGGATTGTACATTATATATTAACAGAAATTTAAAACATGAAAATTAGAATATAATTAAAGGATATACCTTCCTAGAGTCCGGTAAAAATCTAATTAATTTATCTGGCCTAAATTTCATAGGTAATCTAAAGGGTAGAGGTTAGGTACTACTTAAAATCACTCAAATGCATGTTTTTTTTGCGCTGTTCATATTATATATGTATTTATATAGAGTATTGATCTTACCTGGAACATAGTTCCACGTCGGTATCTGAGTCTAGTTCTCTATCGATATACAGACTTTTCCTGAATGACAGCATAGGTTCTTTAATAACTCGTCGTGCACGCTTTTCTGTAGAGCGAAACAAGATATATGGAAAACAATGCACCGATTTGATACATTCTTTCACTGAAAGGAACATTGTTTTAAAACGATATAGGCTATATTACGTCAATATATAAAAACTCATAAAGATATAAGCACTTCAATGGAGACGATAAGAGTCACTATTAAATATTTAAATACTTACTATTGACTCCCATGGGCTATAATATAATATTGATTATAGAACTTGTTAAAGCAGCAGTTACAAACAGTTACTTTCGTTTGTTTAAGAAAGAGACCTGTAAAAATCTTATTTAAATGGTCACTAATGGTGAAGAACGTATAGCACAGTTTTATAAACACAAGAATTTCACACCCGTACTCCAAAGGTCGGTTTATCTCTTAATTCAATATCTTATTAGTATGAAGAACAATATCTAGTCAATAAAATAATTATTTAGAGATTATTATACTAAGTATGTAAATCCTTAATACCTATAAAATAAAGTTATTTTGATTAAACACGTTACGTTGTTTCCTGATAACGACAAAATTATTTTATTGCTATTAAATAGAAATTAAAATATCTAATTGTGTATTATAATATATGAGTGTCATCTATGTAAACTAAAATAAGTATGATATATATTTTATTATATGATTACCTTGAAATGGTTTACTTTGATCATGTCGATCGGTGACGACAGGCATATTTAATGTGTTACAAACTTTCTTGTACAATTCATTGGGCAACACCTTCGATAGACTTCTGCTGTCTTCAATCTTAAAATATAAAATAATAAAAACATCAGTGTGATCAAAATTGTCGAAAATAATCGACGTTCATAGTGAGTTATATGTAATTTAAGTGGTAAAGCCGGTAGGTACATTCTCAAAAGTAGTAATGTCACAAGTATTCTAGGTTGAATAACGATGAAATGAAAACTGCGCATGAATAAGCTGATCTCACCTTCCCCCTTAATTATAAATTAACTTAATGACAAAAGTGTAATATCAATTTTAGATATAAAACTATTATCGATTTATGTCAAGCTATTTTATTTATTTAAAAGAAAGTAACAAACACTAGAATACTTAATCAGCACCTATTATTTACAGCACTTATTAGTGGTCATCTGGTATGAATGGACCGTTATGTATCTATGTATTTTAGTAGGTAATACTTGACTTTTTGATCCTTTGAATACATAAAAGAGTCAGTAAATTACATTATTAAACTGAAGATAAGAAGAAATAACATATTTTAATCAAATAGAAAGTAATCTTGATATAAAATACTATTGAACATACAGACATACTAAATTTAAATTATAATTTAATATATCTAATTAAATTTAAAGCTACTTATTTATTACCTGAATTCTATATTTTAAATTAGATCACATATGACTAATATTTATATTAAATTAATATAAGAAAACACTATTAATAGTTTATTTTACATTATTTTGCATATTTAAACTTAGAATTCTTGCTACTAGATGGCGCTATACCAATTTTCCGCACAGAGTGAACAATCACAATATGTCTTATGAATATAGTTTTTTTTACAAGCTTAGTGTTATAAATACTTAATGTAAATAAATAATTAAATAATTTAGCGAAATAATCATACCGTCGTTTTGGTTGTTGTATCAATTTCATTAAATACATTGGTCCAATACTTCTTGTTTGTATGTAAAGCTTCGGCTGCTTCATATTTAGAATTTCTAATGTTCGGAATTTTACGTGGTATTTTTGATTTTTTCTTGGACATTTTGTGCATGTAAATCCTGTAATATTTGACCTTTATAAGACCACATAGATTTTACATCGAGTAGGTTGCACCACAACCGGTCTACACCGATGAGTTGTCGACAGTATTTCAAGAGACTCAACGCAAACACTCCTCATTTTATGTAACAGAAATCATAATTCAACTAGAATGGTCACTACCTAAATAGTGTACTTAATATTTTATATTCTCTATTTTAAAAGACACTATTTGGAAAGAAGTTTCAAATAACTTAGGTAAATGATAAAATAAATCATATAAACCATCTATCATTTCATTCATTTTTTTCATACAATGGTGTAAGTTATTATAAAAAAGTTACATAAAACAAAAATCTGCACGGTAATAACTTGTACAAGTATACATAATTAGCTGAGAAAACTATTCCATTTTTTGTTTCCAAAGTGCCCTTGTCTATACATTTTTCAAGTCTATAATTTGTTGACAACGTTGCTATTGCTACGCTTCCACGTGTTATAAAGTAGAATATAGACTAATATTTGATATATAATACATACAACATAACACAATTTTCACTCATCTATTAGGTACATTTAAAATACAGCATTGTTTGTACTAATTACTTCCCCTTTTTTTCTTTAATTTTTCGTATCTGTATGAAACATCGGTAAGCAATTAATTCATTAATGTAATATCTATAAATTAATTTTTATTACAAAATATAATTAACATACACAGAGTTAAAGTTTCACCTATCACTTATATTTAGTATATTATCCTAGTGATATAATCTTAACCCCATATGACATTAAAGATCCGTTCATCCGTTTAAAAAGATAACAAACACTCACACAGACACTTTTGCAATGTTAGTATCCAAGAGAACATTATTTATCTTCCGTAATTCTTTTTTTTTTGTGTGGTCTTCATAAACGGTCGTCCAGAGTCGAGTTTGATCAATAGTTGCGTTTATCGCAGCTATCGCGTTTGTAGGTGCTACCTGTTTTGTTAGTGAAACTACATTGCGTTACATTTTAACGCGACAGACATGCATTTTCTATATATTATGTTTTTTTTTATAACATATGACAAATGAGCTTGCGGCTTACCTGTTGGTAAGTGATTACCGCTCTTGAGTACCCGCAACATAAGGAGTATTGCAAGTGTGTTTCCGGCCTTTTAAAAAGGAAAAAAGTTTCTTGAAATAGGGTCTAAAAATTTCTGCGAGTTCGCTGCTGTCCAACAGACAAAAATATGTCCTAATATTATTGTCCAAAAATAATTGTTAGACACGTCACATCACTTTGCAATACACAACACATCCATCATTGCAATATATTTGCAATGATGGATGTGTCTAACATTTATTTTATTTTTATATACCTACATGAGATGAGTAGAAATATTATAAACGTAAACAATGGTATATTTTCATACTTATGCCAAAAGGATTCCAACTGCTGATTTAACTAATTAAAATAGGTAAAATGTCCAAATACTGGTCTTCTACATATGTAAGTAGATTTAACAAAAGTTTCACTATAAAATAATGACTAAAGCATATTTTTTCCTTGCATTTTTATAATATACCTAACATAAGTTCTTTAAGCTAACCTGCACTGAAAACAAGCACTGTAGGTATAGTGACATGCTGACATATGAGAGTATAAAGCAATGGACACAAGTTAAGCACTTTGTACCGTATGTTACTTGAATTACGATGCCTGTCGTTAGTATGCGTTAAAGGCTTCTATGGTAAGCTAATTTAAGATTATGTACTTCGAATTAATATAGATAATGGTGTAATACATATATCCATGCCTGAACTGTTAAAAAATAAATATAAAACTGATTTTAAATTATTAAAGTGGACTTCTGTATGCTTTTTAAGGTAATGCGTTTTATTATTCAACTATAGGTACTTTACTGACTTCGAGAACAAAAAACTTTCATAGTTTAATCATATTTTTATATCAATGTACATGCGTGTATTCTTTGATGAACACCTTTACGATTGATCTATACCAATATTATAAAAAGGTAGAGTTTGTATATTTGTTTGTTTGAGGTAATCTCCGGTTCTGTTTAACCGATTTAAAAAATTATTTCACTGTTAGAGAGGTCCATTATCAGAGTACCGGAGAAGTAATAAAAAATGTGGCAAAAATATTCATTTTAAAAGATACCGCTGCGTACGCAACGTACACGGTTAAAGTTACGCAAAAAAGATGTATATCGGAATTGTTCTCTAAGTTCTAAAACAGAGACATCGTAGCAGTATGCTTATTGTAATTAGCTACAAATATTATTACATATATACATAAACTACATACTAATAACCTGTATGGAAGCAGACTTGGCAAGTTTATTCAGACTACAATTGAGTCAGACTTCAAGGCAACCGGCGCTTAATGCAATATTATGTAAAAGCGAAACGCTAACTTAGCATAACACTATTTAACTTCACCCTCTGATAGTCAAATGAGGATTTCTGATCTATTTAAATCTTTATTATTGATTGTAATAGCATCGTTACATGTTAGATTTATATATGTAAGTACAATCTAAAACTATTATAATGAAATAAAAAATATATGAAAAAAACTATTATTAGTAGTCTATTAATATAATAGAACAAAAAATATTATTAGAATTTTTGTCTGTTTATCAATAGAAACAATACATGTCAGTTACAATCAGTGTCCTCACACAAGTCAGTTAGCCGACTTGTTTGAGGACACCTAAAATTATTGTATGTTTTATTTCAATATGTTTTAGAAACCTAATGAAAAAGGTGTGTTATGTATAAAAGTGTAATAGATATCATTCTTTATTAAATTTTTACAAGGATGAACATAATAATTACAAAGATCCATAATTAAAATATTTAATAATAAATAATCACATTCATTATTTCAATTAAGCGCATCCTGCCTATTGATTACAACTTCAGAATTACCTACATAAGATATTTTCAGAGGAAGTATCTAGTTTAATTTTGTACATGTACACGTTTGCTAAATACATTTAAAATTGTCTATAAAATGTGTAGTAGCTAGTAGCTTAATGTGTTGTTTGCCTTTTCAGATGAGTTGACTAAAATGTATATACCTACTAATAACAATCTGATGTTTTGGTTTGTTGATACCAATTGTTTGTAATAAATTTAAGCTTTTTCTAAGCATATAATTCAGTACATTATCCGTGAAACCGTGTTTGTAAAACACATAATACATTATATTTTTTTTAGCTGTATGTAATGTATTGTGGTACTAGCTGTACCCGCGACTTCGCCCGCGTGGAATTTAACAAAAAAGTTAATTCGTTTTTAAGTACTTTATTTTTCTAAAATAAAAGTAGCCTGAGTTACTCCTTATTACATCAGCTATCTATTTATCATTTCAGAGATTAGCCGGAACAAACAGACAGACAGACAAAAATTCTAAAAAATGTTATTATGGTGTATGTACCGTATTTATATTCATATGCAGGTAGTAAAAAACGGTTATTTCAATATTACAAACAGACACTCCTCCTCTTTTCCTTTTCCTCCTCCTTTTATTTATATGGATAGATTATTATAATTAAACACCATACAATTGTACGATACAAAATTATATTGTTTATCAAGCACCACTGTAAAAAGTAAAATTTCCGCTTAAACAAATTTTTGAATTGTGCAAGAACTGTAATTGTACTAGATATAAATGTGATAACGCCAACTTTCCATTCCAGTTGTTTCCGTATCTGCTTATAGGTTTGTTACATTTATTGAAATAAACAATAAACGTTTGGTTGATTTCCTTACTCATGATTGTTTTATCTTCATTGAAACTGAGAAATCGACGTCACCTCATTACGACAACTTGAACAAGATAAAGTTTAATTAACCGAACATTGTCTGCTTCGAAGATTTATTAGTGAACTTTTTAGTGATGTTCTTCATTACATTGTTACAAACATATTGTTTCACGAAAGTTGTTAAGATAAATATAGTATAGTTTACATATGTAAAATTATATTTGCAAAATTTAGGGAGAATGTAACATTTAACACCTTCTTAAAACTAATTATTCATATAACATCATAGTAAATCAAAAGAAATGATTCTTTGTTAGTGATTTAGATGTTATTACTTTACTATTTGTAGAGGGTAACGCCCTCTTATGTATATGCCAACTTACATTAATCATAAAATAAACAATCTAATATTAAACATTACCTAACTCTTGATTACTAATTGAATAATTTTCAATAATTAACCTTATCTAATAATACCATAATAGTTTATAATATTTTGATAATAATTTAGTAACTTTTAAAAAGAATGATATTATTTAATGTAAAAAAAGTATTATTTAGTAGTCGTTTAAAAAATGTCGACATTCGTACTATTCCAAGGTATAAAATAGTTTATCGTGGTCCGAAGTCTAGGATGAGAGCACAACACTAATTCTACGACGATTACATGCGAGTTACGGTAGGAATGTCATAAGTCGCGACTCAGCGCTAACACGCTCGCGAGACGGGTGACGACTTAATAAGTTAAGTTGTTACGGGACTTGTGTAAATTTACCTTTACGCCCGATATACCCGCTCACATCCGTCCCAACATTATTCTTAGCTAACGGTGTAATTTATACAACTGCGCAGTAAACGTGAAATTGAAGATTATACCAACATTAACACTCACTATTATCTATTATATATAGCAATATTCAAGTCTGATACATATAAGTAAAATTGCTACATCCCATATTAAACAAAATATTAAATTTATTTAGATCATGGTAGATTAAGGTTAAGTATAGTATGATGATCTTCAAATATTATGTAATTATTAAAACTATTCGTTTAATTAAATTAATTTAAAATATTCGTTTTTTTTTAAATATACATTTATGTATATTATTTAATAAATAAAAAACTAATTTAATCTAGATTTTTAGGTATGGAACTAGTACAAAATAAAGTTTTTGGAGTTTAATCAGCAAAATTTGTTAAATATTTACGAAAAAGTCGTGTAATAGTTTCACTTAAAAATATTACTACATTAAAAATAATCTTTTTTAGATAAAGATATAAAGATGAAAATGGTTTATTGATCTTTTAAAAATTGTTCCTATTTATCGTTAAATATTACATGGTCTATAATGGAACACCCGTAAACAAATATAGTATAGCAAACAAGAACAAATGAATATAGTTTAACGAGTAACCGCGAAGATACTGAGAACAATTTGTGATCTGGGCGACTGGCTTAGTCTCACCCCTCGTTAATTGGACCGACTCACAGATATTGATAGTACTGTGGGTGACCTTCGTAATATAGTGCACTGCAACACTACTCGTTGTACTTACAAAGTTATTAACGTCAATTATTAACTTTAAAATACATGGATTTATAATATATAAATTTTGCATCATATTAAACTTCACATCATAACACCTTTTGCCTATTTTGTGTCTTTTTTATATTTTACTATACATTTACCACTCTTTTCTAATTATTATTTGTTGAAGGAATTGTAACGTTTACGTTTCGTCCTACAAGCGTAAACCTACAACAAATAATAATTAGAAAAAATTATAAGTAATGAACATCTGCATTACATAATGTAACCGTAAATATACAAAATTCATAATGGGTTTACTAAGCCGAAAATATGTAATAGTATTTCTAAACAACCTATACAAAGAAATGAAATGGGCATATATTTTTTAAAACCATCATAGAAAAGTCTTGATTTTTTATATGAAATTTATAACATTTATTTTCACACTACCATTTTAATTCTTGGTAAAGTTCTGTTTCTTGAATTGGCCTAAAATAATACAGATAATAGTAAAGGTGTCATGAAAATCCATTAATATTTATTAGCAAAATATATGTTTTGAAGTGATGACAACATAATGCGTTCGTCATTAAACGACATTAAATAAATATATTATACTTACTCAAAAATGATCTGAGAAACTCATAATTACTCATATTTGTTAATAGGGTTCTATCGCTACAATAATTATATATTAATATATGAAGCAAAAAATTTTACCCTTTTTTACAAAAAAAACCGGAGGAGTATGATATAGAATAGAATATTTCCCACATTTATTGTTTATATGGAGGAGGAGTGTAGAATGCAGAATTTATGTATTTTTTATGCCGGAAACATATGTCATGTATTTGACATACACACGCAACTGATAATAGATCTTTGACAATAGAAACTTATGTTCCAAGTTATAATTTTAATATTATATATTAATAAGAATAGACCATTGGGCGACCACCACTTCATAATATATTCTATTAAACGATAATAATGATGCATGAGAGACAATGTAATAATTTAAAAGGTGAAATAATTAATCAATAAGATATCTACTATTAAAATTAATTAAATATATCTACTGCTGAATTAACTTTACATTTCAACCTATTATATCATTTTTACACAACAGTATTATTTGTAGTACTCGTATTATTTGAATTTAAAGTAATCCTACGAATCCATTCGGTAGATACCCAAGCTTAAAATCTATGAAGATAAAAGCCAAAGAAGATTAGCAGAAATGGACTCGAAACGCCTAAGCCGGGTCATTTCAGAGAGATCCCTTTCTTTTATCAGAATTTTGCACGCCTATGCTTACCCTGAGTTATAATATGTTTTAAATTTCAGATTGTTTAAAGAATCACAGAAAATGTTAATGTCACTCGTATAATATTAATTAATTTGTTCCGAATAAAAATATAATAATAGGTTAATATATAATGAAACATATCATTCAAAAATACATCAATATATAAATTTAGAATTGAAAGTCGAAACTTTCGTCAGTAAACATTTTGAGAAGTTTTGGATTTTCCTGGAGTAGGTGTCTCAGTGATGATTTCCGCTTCATTAATATTTCATTCAAAGATTTTTTAGAGGATTCTTTTATTTTATAGTGCGACTCATTTAAAATATCAGGAAAACCTTTGGTACATAGACAGTCAAAATTAGATATCGATAACTCTTGACTAGAATACTGAGTTCCTACATTACAGTACAATTCACTGGTTGACCCAAATGGTAATTCTCTGCAGACTATTTCTATATGATTGAGTAAGGCTGGGGAATTATCTTTTTTTGGTGTTGGATAAAGTATCATTTTCAATCTTTCAAAATTATCATCTGTATAGTCTAAGTAAGATTCCAAGTATGGAAAGGTTGCCATTTTTGCCCAGTTTTTACAATTTCGCATTGGGCAATGCCTAAGTGGTTTAAAATCGTCTATAATCATAGGTTCATTTGAAGATATAGTTGCTTGTAGCGTATGAGATGGGTCAGACTCAACAACTGTAGTTGGTAATGATGGCTTACCAACTGTATTATCAGTAGCAATGGGATGGCATAGTGGTATTTCTAAATCTTTTTCTAAACATTTACATTGCTCTGATTCAAGAAAAGCCTTAATTTCTTCATACTTTTGGCATTTGGCATAAATAAATTGTCTTTGGACTCTAATTATTGGTAAATCAACATTAGATGGTAACGTTTCTCTACTTCCATAATGAGAAAGATTACCTAATTCTGATATATCACCAGCCACGACGAATGGCTGTTTATCACATTGAGATTCCAAAGCTTCAGTGTGTGAAAAATTAAACAAATTTTCTTCTTCTACTAGAATTGAGTGACTTTTTTCAGGCAATTTTTGTATTTCATTTAATTGTAATACCACCATCTTCTCAAAGTCAAGAAGAAATGTAGATTGTTCTGGCAATAGCTTAAGACTGAAACCAATAAATTTTAAGAATAACTGTAAAATCTTTTTAATTTTTTCTTCCCATCTGTTGTTAATTTCAGAAATAGTAACTTCTGTATCCTTAATATCATTTATAATGCCTTGTTTATCTTTTATATTTTTAATTTTTTCAGATATTTCAGTCATCTGGTAGTTCTGTAACATAACTTTTTTGATTTTACATTTTTTTCTTTCTGTGCACATTATGTACATTGTGCTGGTTTTATTTTCACAATCAATTTGCCTCACATATGATTTTAAAGTATCATTTCTGTCCTGAATAGCTTCATTTACTAATTTATTATTTCTGTGTAATTCATTATGTAAAAGAAGTTTATAATACTTTTTTACTTTCTCAATTTCATATTCATGCTTTTTCTTTAATATGCTTACTAAATGTAGTCTTTCCTTTTTTAATTTTATTTTAATTTCAATGTTGGAGGCACTTATGGTATAGGCATGAACACTTGATAAAACATTTTTAATTTCAGCTCTCATATGATCTTCCAACTCCTGAAGAGTATTTTCGTAAAACATTGCTATTTCTTTTGACATAATTTTGCTTTTAGTTTTCAATATTTTCTTGTAGATACTTTGTACATTTTTATCAATGGAATTTCTTTCCATTTCTAAAATATATGTCCACGCCGCGTCATTATTTTTGATTAAGCCATTAATTTTTTTAAGAATCCGGTTACGTTCTGCTTCCAATACTCCATTACCAATCTCAAGTATTCCTTGATGGGTTTTTCCTCTGGTAATTTTAGATGTAAATGGAGGTTCTAGCTCTAGTATACCTATTAACTTATCGCTCGGTGATTTCCACTCATCTTGTTCAATTTTATTTATAACTTCATAATCCTTTTTTATACTCGACTTACTACCAGATTTACAGATTTCAGAATAACTGTCATCGAAATAAATTTCGGTATAAGCACTTGTTACCCTTTCACCGTGAGTTAATGTATTAATGATATTTTTCTTCATTTTTATACGAATATCAATAAATAAGTGCTCATTATATTGTATATGAAATGAGACAGCACTGTAGTTGCTATTACATTGAAGAACGAAGGACTGTCAGTCTTATCTTGTCAATAATACCAAATATATGATTACATTAAAAGAGGTGGAATTATTTTTATATTATATCTAAACTTGTACACGTATGAATTATATACAGCTATATATTTCAACAGTATAGTATAGATCACAGAACAGACAAATTCGAGACTGCGTTATAAAAAAAGAACACTAAAAAATAAAAATGGCGGTTAAAATTACAGCTTGATATCTCAAGTTCTTCGCCATTATGTTTTTTATTTCGTTTTTGGAATTACTTTGACATTAAAATAATAATAAATATACATAATTATAAAGTCAGCATAATATTTATATTATAAAAGGCCATTATAGCGATTTGCATTATAATTTAGTTAATTTCATTACCACATAAACGAGAAACGTTTTGTTTAATTCGTTCGTTGATAAACACAATTAAATCTACGGCTTTTCTCATTAAGTGAGATATGTATCTCTACAAAATAATTTCTAATGTTTTCGGATTCAGACATGTGAATCTAGTAGAAAAGTAAAAAAAATGGGCCCAGCTTATTCTTCCCGATATCTGCAGCCATAAAGCATGCGATGGATCCAAATATGGAAAATAATTATTTTACTAAAATAACTTTAATTACTGCTGCATTTTAATTACTATTTGATAAAGTTGTATACTAAATTTAATTAAAATCCTTTAGAATCTAAAGGCAATGCTGTACTACTTACTTTGATGTTTTAAATCTAAATTTTACATATCTGTCTATCAAAATAGAATAAGAATGCATAACACTTCAGTGTACCAACTTATATAATATAATGAAATAAACATTAATGAGTTTTCTGGCACTTTCAAAATAACAGTTTGGTATTCAAATAAGCGATCGTGTCGACGGCCTACCTGTGATTAGCGGCGGTGATGTAAAGCGGCGAGGCGCTCCTACCGCTAGATTTAATTAAATACTTCCTTGCACCACCCACCTACTATTTCACCTCATGTACTCTTGCCGGCTTGCCTTATCTCTCCTAGTTACTAAATCACGTAGTATTTGCAATATCAAACTAAAATAACCACTGCAGTCAACGTTCACTTTATAGTAAAATCACATACAAAATGTCCACTCTCATAGTATTTGTAGCAAAAACAGTCAATTCTACGGTTCAGAGTACTCCAAATACGAGCATGTGATAATAAATTACAGACATATCTCGACTCCATTCTCATTACGGATGCGGCAATGTCCGTCGGAGTTTTGTCATAACTCAGTCTCGGTTGAAATTATTTCCGTTGGGTCTGATGAGAAAACTAGAGGTGGAGAACTCGAAATGTAAGTATTCGCGCAACAAGCCGTGGAATAACGACGGGACATATTTCATTCTTAACGAAGTTAAATTTCCGGGAAGGTCCTGTAAGAGCGTGCGTAACTCTGATAAAAGGCTACCCGGCTACAATACCGATTTTGTATTTGTGAGACATTACAGAGGTCATAAATAAGTACAACAGTTACATTAAACTATTGTTAAAGTAACACGAAACGCTGCAATTCAATACCCATTTAAGGTAATAATATAAAATTAGTATATAAATTTTATTTTCTAATTTGTCAAAATAATAAATATATCATATAAATTTGTGAATTAAATAAATGGGATCGATTTATTGGATTAAAATATTGACAATAAATTATAGTTGCGTATAGCACACTTTTTACCTTTGTTAATAAAAAAACTCAAGCTGTCCGAAAGTTAGAGAATGTTTGACGTGCTCACAATAAAACAACAAACATAATTCAGAAACTGGGAACAACTTGGATTGTTTTCTACACATCATATCGGCAAATAAATCTTTCGGCCGCTTATCTGACGTCAAACTTAATTCCCATGCATAATTCATCGCGTCGATTTCGTGTGAAGAGGGAAACTTTCTCGACTCGCTACAACAACCGTCTGCGACCTGATATTCGAATTGAAGGCAGTGCTGGACATTTATTATAACTACCGACATATTTTAATATGATAATTTGATAATCAATAAGAGTTGGGGAGTTAGTGATTCACTAGAACGACTTGGATCGAAATTCCGTGAGTTCAAATCTAGGCGACATCAGAAACTATTGCAGTTAGAGAAAAAAATGAAACTGCCATAGAATGGCCTTCTGCCACGGGGAAGCGCATGTCAAGTGTTGCGTTCACCTTGACGTCGAAAGTTAATAATGATTTAACTGCCCACATGGAATAACAGTCTTGAATGTATATATGTATATACATACTTAATATGTTAAACCCTAAATATTAAGCAGACCTGAGACCCCCACCGCGCGACACGTCAGCGACTAGACAACAAATGTAATATTTCTTACTTACCAAAACCGAGTTGGTACAAATAGTCTTCAGGAAACACTGCGTGCTGTTTGTAGATAACCAACTTACCAGTGCGACGATCTTGCTGTGAGTATACGTTAATTATATGAACTTAATTAAATTATTTGTATACTGTCACACATTATTTAAGTTGCATTAAAATAATAAACAACAATTTTAGTAGATATTTAAGAATTTGACTTCTAGTAAAGAAAATGATGCATATACATTATAATAACTTTTTTAACTCAAACGTAGTAGTTTCATCATGCTGGTATTTCTGGTTATAAAACCCTTTATAACCAGAAATATACTACTAGCATGATGAAATATTTATTGTAAGGTATTTCCAAGATTACCTACGGTTAGACTTCATAATAATTTATTACTATTGTAACGCTATTTCTATGCCACCTGCATTCACGCCATTTAGTACGGGGTCGCCCTATAGCAGTGTTTCCCAACGTGGGGCCCACGCTCCACAGGGGGGCAATCTAATTATTAAGGGGGGTAATTCGAAAATGGATTCTTTATTAAAATTATATGGAAAGTGAATTTCAATTTTTCATTATATGTTTTGAAAGTTTATTTAATGTTACATTAACAACTTCTTAGTGATTTCTTCCTAACAGTTATTAAGTTTCTTAAACAATTAAATTTGTAAATGTTACAAATTATGTATGTTACATAGGGGGGAGGCATAAGAACTTTAGGCTTAAAGGCTAAGGTTGGGAAACATTGCCCTATAGCATTTACCTCTACAAAGTCGCCGTTCAGAAATATTCCTTAGAAAACGATACTGAAGTATTATATTATATAAAATTTAATTTAAAATTATATTTAATTTCTCTAGACAGTAAAAGTATTCTTTTATCAAAATGTAATGCGTTCCTAGAACTCAGGGAGTGAGTAGAGTGCATATTTATAGACTAAGTAATATGTTATTATATACTTTAATTGTTAAACTATCTATTTTTATTTTTAGGTAGGTACCTACGTACATATGTACGTACGATAGATGTTAATCACATTTATTTAGCGAATAATTGTAATGGTAGGTATGATACCTACCCACTAAATTTAAATATACGCTAACATAAGTCATGTAAATTTAGATGTACACTTTTACATGTATGTTTACGACATTTGAATTCAGTGCACCAAGTCACGGGAAGGAGTTTTTAGCATTTGTCCGATGCAGCTGAACTCACATACGGAATTGTAAATTTATTTGTCGGTATCTTAGCCCCGAGGTTACTGACCGCAGCCTTTGAATTTTACCACTACTTTTATAAAGTAACACGGAAATCAGATTTTCGAATACTGATGTTCCTGTTTTAAAGCCACAGTGGTGTCTATCAGTCTACTTCCAATTTAATAAACGGGGTTAATCGGGGTATAAATGTCTGAAACAAAAGAGGTAGGCAAAATTGCTACATGCGAATTGCTGACTCATAAGAAGAAATCTTAATAAGTTAATTGCTAAATTATAAGAATTGTTGTGTAAATATTATGTAATTACCTAATTGAGTAACTTATAGTAATAAACCTAAAATAGAAAAATATAAAAAATAGTAACCGTGAACTTGTCATCTTTTTTACTCTTTCACATAGAAGCAAGACCAGCACTACTTTTACTAGCACGTGGCGAGAACCGACTGGAGTACAACAATACGTCGGTGGGTGTCAGCCTTTTTTAGCAATTACCGCCAATAGATTTTACAACGAAATATAACGTTATTTGTACCCATGTTGACTAAATACCTATTTTTCCACAAAATTATTTGGATTAAGACCCGATTAATCATATTAATATAATTTATCTTTGTTTCTCTTGCTTAGGAGTCTTGTACCCATAGTAACTACAGTTACATCCGGTAGTTTTATGCAAATCGTAAGATGTATTTCAAGGCATTTCCAAAATCAGTCAGCCGCCATATATTATTACGTATATGTATAGATATCGCCGGCCACGGTACCCCTTACTATCAGCCAGGTCATATTTTTTGTCAGCCGAGGTAGTAGTTTAAAAAATTAATTGCACAGTATGCAATATTGTAGAACTAAATTTAATTACAAATTCATAACCAAAGTAACGAAGATATGAACGATCGAGTATCTAAAAGAAGAGACTTCGTTGAAAAGTTTTAATGGACCTATGTTTTAATATGTATCTGATTGCGATATAATTCAGAATTTAAACATAAAAATACTAAACTATCCTCACACCCATTTAAATATTTCAGAAAAGACGTCTGTAGGTATAGTGGTTTTCTGTGTGTGTAATAACCAACTTCTACAAATGTAAACTATCAAACCAATGCTTATAAAAAATATTGTTTTATATCTACTAAAACTAAAGACTATACTAGGAAACATTGTCATTAGCATTTCCGGATATCACGAGTTCGATTTCTCTTAAAGTACACACATTTCTATTCTATTCATGGTTGTCATTGTTTGTTTTGGTCTGGATGTTTTCTATGTATATACAAACCAATAAATATCAATACTACGCGTAATATTATCTTATCTGTTCTACTACCTATATCATATGACACTTATACCTACCTACTACTACCCATAATACAAGCTCTGTTTAGGTTAAGACTATATATAGTATTAAATAGGTATATGTATTTATGACTTTAT